AGACCAGACGTGCGACGGAGGAGTCGGGTCAGGAGACAGAGGAGGGGACACAGGAGGGGAACGAGGGGGGAGACGGGCCGGGGAAGAGTCCGGCGGAGGGAAGACAGGGCCGTAGACAGGAAGAGGAGGAGACGGCCGGGGAGGAACCGACGCAGGGTCGGGGGACGGAAGGCCGAGCAGGCGAAGGGCTGTCACCGGCGGGGACTGCTGCTGCGGCGGCACAACGGCGACACCGGGACCGCAAGCTGCTCCTCGGCTACCACCGACACTCTCCACACCAGCACCCCCAGAGGGACCACCCCCAGGGCTACCGAGACGAGCACCCCCAGAGTCAGCGAACGGGTGCTACGACGGCGGCGGCGGCGGCGGCGGCGGCGGCAGCGACAACGACGGCTGCAGCGGCGGCAGAGGCGGTGGAGGGGGGGACTGGGGAGGGGACGCCAGGGGAGGGGCGGCCGGCGAGGACTGAACAGGAGGGCCACCAGAGTCAGAAGACTCCTCAACCGGGTCCACCGACGGAAGGGGGGTGACGTGGGACACACCAGAGGGGGCGGGACGGGGAGGAGGAGGAGGAGGGGCAGGGATTACTGGGGAAGGAGTGACCAGGAACAGGGGGGGGGTAACCGGGGGACCACGGTGGGGGAAGCGACGGTAGTAGGAGACACACTCGTCAAAGGTGACGTCACGAGAGTGAAAGAAGCGGTGAGACGGCGGGTGGTAAAAGTGCCAGTCGGACGCGTCAAGGGGAAAACCGAGGAAGACGCAGGGAAGGGTGCGGGCAGTGAGCTTGTCCGTGCCGGAGGCACCGACGTGAGCAAGGCAGCCCCAGACGTGGAACGCAGACGCGTCACCAGGAGACCCAGTCCAAAGATGAGTCGGCGAAACCTGCGGCTGCTGAGGGTGCGGCCACAAGTTAAGCTGGTGAGAAGCGTAGCGCACAGCGAACGGCCACAGAAAATGGGGTGCACCGGCATGGATCATGGAGGTGCGAGCCACCTCCATGACCAAACCGATGCGTCGCTCAGCGATCCCATTTTGCTGTGGGGAGTCCGGTAGGGTGAACGTCTGGGTGATGCCCTCCGCACGACAAAAGCGACCAAGGACACCTGAGGCAAACTCGCCACCACGGTCGGAGTGAAGACGCAAGACAGGGAGACCGCGGTGGACCTAGTAGAAACAAGCCAGGGGATGAGAGCACCAGGCACGTCGGCCTTGCGCTCCAGGGGAAAGACTGTGGTGTAACGAGTGAAGTCGTCGACAAGCACAAGGAAGTAGCGCTCTCGACGCGGCCCAGGGACGGGGGCGGGGCCCCAGACGTCCAGGTGCAGGGTCTGCAGCGGCGCGGCGGTAGGGGGAAACGAGGAGGAGTGCGGGGCACGGCGAAGCCGACCCTCGACACAAGGCGTGCAAGGTGGGGCTGGGGAGGAGGGAAACGCGGGGAGGGAACGTGGGAGACCAAGGACAAGACCGTGCTGGGACATGTGACGCAGACGCGGGAGCGCAGGGTGACCTAGGCGGTGGTGCCAAAGGAGAGTCGGGTGAGTGAGGGACCGACAGGAGCAGGCAGCAGCAACCTGGGTAGACGCAGCCACCTGAGGAGGCGCCCCAGCCGGGGGGGTCACGGTGTCCAGAGTGAACAGGCCGGACACCGGGTCCCGAGGGAACGTGGACAGGGGGGCACCAGTGGCGGCCTCGGTACAGACAGCATACCGCTCGTGACCAGGGAACGTAGTGGTGACGCCAAGGTCCTGGAGGCAGCCGACACCAACTAGGTTCCTGGAGAACGAGGGGATATGCAGACCTGTGAGAGAGCCCGAAGGAACCGCCGGACAGGGAAGGGTGGTGGAACTGCGGGCGACGACCGGACCGCCGGAGGGGTCAGCAAGAGAGACGGCAGCTGGGACAGGAAGCGGCGTCAGGGTGGTGGAGTCGCGGAAGAAACACCGAGAAGCGCCAGAGTCCAAGGTGAAGGAAAGCGAAGCAGAGGCGTCGGGCAACGGAACGACGGCGGAAGCACCAAGACTACACAAAGCAGGGGGTCCTACGCCTGACGCAGCAGGGGAGGCTAAGCTAGGCACACCTACACTAGGCAACAGTGAGTAATAAGCGGGAAGCACACTAGAGTCATCAGCATACATCACATGCAGAGCAGAAACAATGGCATCCATGTCCATATCAAAAATCTGAATCTTACGACTAAGCAAACTGTGCCAGTCCGGGAGGTCTGGCGACGGGCCGAAGCGCTGACGAAAGAGGTCGTCCAGGCGACGAAAACAGCGGGGAGTGGAGTGACCGAGCCTACCGCAAACGAAACCGCGGCGAGGACCGGTCTGGATCTGGTACTGACAACGCCCGCCACCAGAGCCACCACTCGGCACACCACCACGCGCCCGGCCACCGCCAGCGCCGGGCCACCCGGGCGGGAGGACACTCGTCTGCCGCGTCTTCGACGGCTGCTGCGGCTGCTGCGAAGGCTGCGACTGCGGCGGCTGCTGCGGCTGCTGCAACTGCAGGGGCAGCGGCTCAGCTGGATTGGGCAGGGTCCCCTCGTCCGCTCCAGCACCAGACGACCCGACCCCACCACTACCCCCTCCCGCACCCCCGCCGCCGCCGCCGCCGCGCCCAACCTTGGGGCGGCGGCCCTTCCCCGAACGAAACTGCGCTGCAGCAGCAGTCTCAGCCACTGCGGCAGAGCCGTCGGAGAAGGTACACTGGGCGGGGGCACAACCCTGAAAGATAGGGACCGGCACGACACTACTCGCCTGGGCGATGGAGCGGTGACGGGTCTCTATCACAGTCAGGGTGTCTACAAAGTCAGTGAGGGTGAGGTCTGCGGGGTGAATGCTAAGGAAGCGGTCGCGGGCGACAGCAAGGCGGTCAGCGAGGCGGGTGGCAAGCAGGTAGAGGGTAGAGGTAATGGGCGGCTGGTGGGCTCTAAGCTGTGCATCAGTGCAGGCTGCACGCCAGGTCTCATCTATCGAGCACACGTGGGCAGCGAGGTCAGAGACAGTGGGGAAAGATGCAAGGTCAGGAAAGAGCATCGGGAGGATCAAGCGACCCACCGAGGCAGCCGGAGGGGTGGAATAGCGCTGGATGACAGCATCTAAGTATGCCTGAGCAGTGGTGAGAGACCAAAAGCGAGGGCGCTCGGACGGGGGAAGGGCGTTGCTGATGGCAAGCTGGGCGACAGCATCGCGAGAAAGCCAGACAGAGCGCGCACGGGCAGTGGCAGCAGTGGACTCGCGCTCAGTGGGTGTGGAGTCAGCGGGCAGAATAGCAGGGGGGCCTGGGCAGGGGAGCGTACCGTCAAGGTGTGCGGAGAGCGGTTCACCATCGTGCCGCTGGCCAGTGAGTTGGCGACGGAGGTCGGCAAGCCACGCCTCGAACTCCAGAGGCTGGCCTTCAGCGTCGAAGCGAAGCTCCGCCGCCATCAGGAACAGTGCAGTGCGGTGCAGGGCAGTGCAGCAAGGTGGAGTGCGGTGTCGTGCGGTACAGTGCGATGCAGTGCGGTGTAGGGCGGTGCAGTGCGGTGCCAGGCAGTACAGGGTGGTGCGGGGCGGTGCAGTGCGGGGCAGTACGGTGCAGGGCAGTGCAGGGCGGGGGGGGGGGGGGGGGAGGGAAACCGTACCAGTGAGGAGGACCGGGGCCGGGGCAGGGACGAGCGCAGGGGCCGGGCCGGTGCAACGGGGCCGGGCGGGCGCGACGGGGCCGGGCTGGTGCGACGGGGCCGGGCGGGTGCGTCGGGGCCGGGCTGGTGCGACGGTGCCGGGCCGGTGCGACGGGGCCGGGCGAGCAGGACGGTGGCCCAGGAGGGGCGCACCGAGGCTGGGCGGGCGCGACGGGGCCGGACGGGTGCGACGGGGCCGGGCGGCTGCGACGGGGCCGGGCAGGGGGCGACGGGGCCGGGCGGGTGCAACGGGGCCGGGCGGGCGTGACGGGGCCGGGCTGGTGCGACGGGGCCGGGCTGGTGCGACGGGGCCGGGCTGGGGCGACGTGGCCGAGCGAGCGCGACGGGGCCTGAAGGCGTGACGGGGCCCAGAAGGGGGGGGCTCGACGCGGCCCAGGAGGGGCGCTACGGGGCCCAGGAGGGGCACAACGGGGGCCCAGGAGGGGCGCTACAGGGGCCCAGGAGGGGCGCGACGGGGCCCAGGAGGGGCGCTACGAAGCCCAGGAGGGGCGCGACAAGGCCTAGGAGGAGCGCTACGGGGCCTAGGAGGGGCGCGACGGGGCCTGGGAGGGGCGCGACGGGGCCCAGGAGGGGCGCTACAGGGCCCAGGGAGGGCGCGACGGGGCCCAGGAGGGGCGCTACGGGGCCCAGGAGGGGCGCGACGGGGCCCAGGAGGGGCGCTACGGAGCCCAGGAGGGGCGCGACGGGGCCTGGGAGGGGCGCGACGGGGCCCAGGAGGGGCGCTACAGGGCCCAGGAAGGGCGCGACGGGGCCCAGGAGGGGCGCGACGGGGCCCAGGATGTCGCTACGGAGCCCAGGAGGGGCGCGACGGGGCCTGGGAGGGGCGCGACGGGGCCCAGGAGGGGCGCTACAGGGCCCAGGAAGGGCGCGACGGGGCCCAGGAGGGGCGCTACGGGGCCCAGGAGGGGCGCGACGGGGCCCAGTGAGGGGTGCGACGGGGCCCAGGAGGGGCGCTACAGGGCCCAGGATGGGGCGCGACGGGGCTAGGGGGGTCGCGACGGGGCTAGGGGCTAGAGGGGTGAGCGGAAGCGGTAGGTGGGGGGGGGATCCTACCTACGCGTGATACCATATCAAAATTGAGAAGTGAATGATAGATAGAGTGAGAGTACACACAAATATACCTAAGTGTTGTACTCTCTAAGAGGCGACCCTATACAGTCTATACAAACATGACAAATACACATGTTTGACATTAGGTTCACTCTTATAAGACTTCCGCTGTCTTACTAGTCTACCATTCCAGTAAAGATCCTAGGTTAACACTTGAGGTTTTCCAAGTGTTCGTGTTTGCAGATTCTATACTTAGTCTCCTGCAACACCTGTCAAATTATTACAGTACCCACCCCCCTTCTTGCCACTTTAAAAGAGAGAACGCAAATTTACAGTCGAGAAGCTCGTCATGGTGTTATTTGCTGCTTTACAAGAGCTGAGGCTTCAAGATATGACATCGCTACAAGTGCAAGAGCAGCTGGCCTCGTTGGTGGAACACCGGGTGCTGCTGATGCTTGCACCTGATGCGCCTTATGCATGTCAAACGTGGTAGGTACCCTCTGCGTGCCACTACTACTGGCACGTATGCCATTCACGCCACTCACGCCATTCACATCATGCACTTTCGGGGAGTTGCAGGCATGCATGCTACCACGCTTCACACCAGGCACGCCTTTGACATCATCCGTGCCATGCGTGCAATTCATCATATGTACCCTATTCACATCACACGGATTTGAAGGGCCACGAGCATGCATACTGCCATGCTTTGCATCCTGCATGCCATGCTTTGCATCCTGCATGCCATGCTTTGCATCCTGCATGCCATGCTTTGCATCCTGCATGCCATGCTTTGCATCCTGCATGCCATGCTTTGCTTCCTGCATGCCATGCTTTGCATCCTGCATGCCATGCTTTGCTTCCTGGACACCACTCGCAAAGCCCATGCCATGCGTGCAATTCGTCATATGTACGTCATGCTCCCCTTTCGCACCACGCCCATTCGCACCATGCCCACTCACACTGTGCACGTTGGCAGCATGCACGCCACCCATCACATCATGCACCCCGTTCACATCATGCACCCCATTCACATCATGCACCTCATTCACATCATGCACCTCATTCACATCATGCACCCCATTCACATCATGCACCTCATTCACATCATGCACCTCATTCACATCATGCGCCCCGTTCACATCATGGACCCCGTTCACATCATGCACCCCGTTCACATCATGCACCCCTTGCATCCTAATCAATTCCTTAACACCACCCGGCCAATGCTCCTCCTCCCCCTCCCTGCTCTTGCTGTGATGCGTGTAGGGAGCCCCCTCACAATACAACTTTCCCTTAGTCATCATCACCTCTTGATGGCTCTTCTCCTCCTCCTCCTTCCTTTCCCCGCTAGTTCCCTGATCCTTCTCCCTTTCACCATTCTCATCACTAGCACGTTGTGCACAAGCACTCGCGTCTATAAGTACCTTCTTCTGTTCCTCTCTGGTTGCCACCTGCTGCTCCTCCTCTAAGCCTAGAATCTCCTCCAGACTCGTTATAATCAGCCTCATTTCTGGCCGCTGCAACGGGTCCTCATCCACACACCACTTTCCCAGCATAAGCAGCTTGAACGCCCCTTCTTTACTGTACACTCCGTTCAGCCTTCTATCCATAACGAGTTTCAGATCAAAGGGGACAGAACTTTGAACTTCTAGTTGCTCCTGCTGCTGGTGCTGGTGCTGCTGCTGGTGCTGCTGGTGCTGCTGGTGCTGCTGGTGCTGCTGGTGCTGCTGGTGCTGCTGGTGCTGGTGCTGGTGCTGCTGCCGCTGCTGGTGCATCTTCAGCTGTTGCCTCTGTTTCTCCAGCTGCCGTTGCTGCAGGAACCGCTCGCACCTGTCCAGGTGTCGGTGGATCCACGGCATGAGCCGGCTGCACTTGACAGCAGCAGCAGGCGACCTGCCCGTTGCCAGCTCGAGCAGCACAACCCCCAGGGAGTAGATGTCACTGCGCGCTGTCAGGTGGCCTGAGGGGAAGCGGTCGGGGGGGAGGAGGATTCCACAAATCAGAGAAAAGGGGAAAGGGGAGGAAGAAGAGGGATCCAGGGCAAGAGCCGGCTGCACTTCACTGCAGCAGCAGGCGACCTGCCTGTTGCCAACTCCAGTAGAACCACCCCTAGGGAGCAGATGTCGCTGCGTGCCGTCATTTGAGGCGCCTCAAAAGTCACCCCTAGGGAGTAGATGCCGCTGCCTGCCATCAGATGGCCTGGGGGGGGAGAAGGGAATGCTGCAGAGGGAAGGGAGATCAAATGCTTGGATCGGCTCCAGTGCACAGCAGCAGCAGGCGACCTGCCTGTTGCCAAGTCCAGTAGAACCACCGCCCCTAGGGAGTAGATGTCGCTGCGCTGAGTGCCGTCAGATGGCCCGGGGGAGACAAGAGGAATCAGGACAGGAGGGAGGGAGATTATAGCATTTTTGAGGTTACAGCACTATAGCATTATAGCACTCCCTCCCTCTACGGCAATGATCCACAGCGTGCCCATGATCCACAGCGTGCCCATGATCCACAGCGTGCCCATGATCCACAGCGTGCCCATGATCCACATCGTGCCCATGATCCACAGCGTGCCCATGATCCGCATGTACAGAACCGCAGGCGTGGTTTCATTACATCACACCCCTCCTACCATCTTCACCGCCCTCACCTGTGACGATATAGGAGGGGTCCAGATAGCCCAACGTCCCCACGACGATTCGAGTCGAAACGCAAGTCTTGCAGTCAGGTGCGGCTTGCAGTCAGGTGCGGCTTCATCGTGTTTTACCCCTCGTCACCGTATTGCACCCATCTTCACCACCCTAACCCGTGTCGATATACGAGGGATCCAGGTAAGCCAGCGTCCCCATAGTCCGAGTCAACACATGCAACTTGCCCTCCTAATCCCCAGTCAACTAACCTTCACCGCACTGAACCGTTCCTCACCTGTGTCTGTGTAGGAGGGGTCCAGGTAACCCAACGTCCCCATAATCCGAATCAAGATATGCAACTTGCCCCCCTACTCCCACGACGATCCATGATCTGCACCCATCTTCACCGCATTGCACCAAATCTCACCAATCTCACCTGTGTCTATGTAGGAGGGATCCAGGTAACCCAATGCCCCCATGATCCGAGTAGACACGTGCGATCTGGCCTACTAGCCTCCAGTCAACCAACCTTCACCGCACTGAACCGCTCCTCACCTGTGTCTATGTACGAGGGGTCCAGGTAACCCAATGTCCCCATGATCCGAGTAGACACGTGCGACTTGCCCTCCTCAGGCCCCGTCGTTGCCATGCCGAAATCCGTCAGCTTGGCGCTCATGTGCTTTGGGAGGGAGGGAGGGAGGGAGGGAGGGAGGGAGGGAGGGAGCGAAGGGGTGGCAGCACATGATGCAGAAGGGGAGTTGTGCTACCAGCCAGTACGCTAGCCGGCCTCAGGCCCCACTGTTGCCATGCCGAAATCCGTCAGCTTCGCATTCACGTGCTGTGGGGTGGGGTGGGGTGGGGTGGGGTGGGATGATAAAATAACAGGGGGGAGGCGTGTGCCTTAGGTCAGGCCATGCCGCAACCCGTTTAGCCTGTGCAGGTACTGCAGCCCTCTCGACACATCTGCAGCACCTGTAGCAGCTGTAGCAGCTGTAGCCTGTGCAGGTACTGCAGCCCTCTCGCCACATCTGCAGCACCTGTAGCAGCTGTAGCCTGTGCAGGTACTGCAGCCCTCTCGCCACATCTGCAGCACCTGTAGCAGCTGTAGCCCCTGTAAAAGCTGTAGCAGCTGTAGAGGCTGTTGCCTCACCAGCAGTAGAAGTATATACGCGTTATTACCTCATCCAATGGTATGTTGCACGACTTGGAGTCTACGTGAATCACGTTTTGCTTGTGGAGATACTCCGGCCCTCTCGACACGTCCAGAGCTATGCGCCACGCACCAGCAGTAGCCCACTAATGCCCGTACGCGCTATTACCTCATCCAGTAGAATATTGCACGTCTTGAAGTCCCTGTGAATCACGTTTTGCTCATGAAGGTACTCCAGCCCTCTCGACACGTCCAGAGCTATGCGCACGCGCTGCTGCCACGTCAGCACAGGCAGGGTGGAACCAACGCCACATGCAGCACTTGTAGCAGCAGTAGCATCGGCTGCACCTGTAGCGGCTGTAGCGGCTGTAGCAGCTGTAGCAGCCGTAGCTGTGCAATGGATGCCGGAAGGGGGGACAGTTGAAAGCCCACTCTTGTCAGCAGTGCGGCTGGCGCTGCCACCCCCACCTCCCACCCGCCCCTGCTTCTCCTTCCACTGCTGTGCCTCCTCCTGCTCCTCCTGCTCCTCCTGCTCCTCCTTCTGCTTCTCCTGCTCCTCCTCCTGCTGACGTGGATACAGCCACGTGTGCAGGTTTCCCCTCTCTATAAGCTCATAAACCAGCACGGCAGCGCTACCCCCCCGGGGCCGGTTCAAATCCACGCAGTATCCCAGCAGGCGCACCAGGTTGGGGTGACTCAGGCTCCCCAGCATGACAATTTCTGACATGCACTCGTCTACAGCTTTGAAGCTCCCACTGTGTAGAACCTTCACTGCCACGTCACGCTGACGTGGTGCTCTAGAGGATGCCACACCTCCTGCTCCCCCCCTGCTTTCCCCCTTTCCTCTGCTACCACCTCTTCTTTCTCCTCTTCTTCCTCCTCTTCCTCCTAAACCTCCAGAACTCCCCTGTCCGTTCCCTCCTCTTCCCTCCTCCCCTGAACCCCCCCCCTCATCTTCTTTACCGAGCCAGTCCTCCACGGAGCCTCGGTAAACCGTGCCGAAGCTGCCCCGACCCAGGATCCGGTTCGGGCCGAACCACTGCGTGGCCTGCTGTAGCTCGCGGTAGGTGAAGCGCCGCAGTGCTAGAGTGGAGCCTGTCTCATCCGTGGTTGTGAAACGGCTACCTGACACTGAAAGGTAGGGCAGCAGGGAAGAACGGAAGGAGTAACCATGGGTGAGAGGAGCAACCTGGTGTGCGAGGCTGCTGTAGCTCGCGGTAGGCGAATCAGCGCAGTGATAGTGTGGAGCATGTCTCGTCTGTGGTAACACTGAACCGGCTGCGTAACACTGAAAGGTACTGCCTAACCGGCAGAAGGGAACGAGAAATCATCGGTAGGAATCACAAGGTGTACAGTTCAGCCCATAGTGCCACCACGAGCCACCACGTGCAACCACGCATGCCACCACGTGCCACAACTACCCTGAGGTGGCGATGCGACGGCGGCAGGCGATTGAGTGGACGGCTGCAAAGCCGTGGAACCATGATTTCGGTTGCTGGCGAATTAAGCCGCTGGCGAATAAGATACAACCTCAGAACGAACCATACCCTGCAGTACAGATATCCAAGCTCTAACCTGAAGCGGCGAGGTGAATCCAAGCTCTAACCTGAGGGGGCGAGGTGACTCCAAGTTCTAACCTGAGGCGGCGAGGTGACTCCATGCAACAAGTATCCTAGCGGTCACCTGAGGTGGCGAGCCTGCATGCGATGGAGTGGACGGCTGCAAAGCCGCGGAACCACGATTTCGGCCGCTGGCGAATGAGGGACACGCTTCGAGGCCCGCCATTATTATTCAGGCTGTAGCAGCAACCCATGGCGGCGAATAACGAGTCGAGTCAAAAAGTGTCGAACGCCAATGCAACGAGTGGCTTGAGAGTGGACTCAAAAGTCGCTGCGCGGCTGGACTTCATTCAGGCTGCTGTGGCAGCAACGCATGGTGGCGAATAACGAGGTAAAATCAACAACTTGAGAGTCGACTTAGAAGCCAACCATGCCGGAAAGTAACGATTCGAGTCGCGCGCTGAAGAATTATTCCTGGTTTATTAGAATTAATCTTACGGAACAAGGCTCGTTCGTAATAGCTTTGGAGGCAAGAACGGGGAGACTACACTCTCTAATAGCAATAGAGGTTAGAGAAAGAGAAAGAGTAAGGTAGAAATGCGCAGTTCATGCCGTGTTTTTGAGTCGACTTCATGCCGTGTTCGTGCACTTCGAGGGCATCCACAGTGGTTTTTTGCACAGTACTTTACACACGGTTCATGCCGTGTAAAGTACTGTGAATGCACTTGAAGGTGGCAACTTAAGTCACTTATTGAAGCTACGTCGTCTCGTGCTGATTAAGGTTACTTATTAAGGTCGGACGCGTGTCCGGGCTAGTTCGAAAGCTGGCTGAACGACAGCTTGAAAAATAAACGCTTAAAATCGTCGGTACAATATGAAGGCCTCAGAAGAAGCTAATGCGAGGGAAACCAGAAACCATGACGGAAAATTATCGGGTCGAGAAACGTCCCCTGGAACCGTTTACATGAAACTCACGTAGCAGCACGCATCTATAAAACGGAAGGCGCCATAAGAAAGGAGCGGTGTATGAGCAGACGTGCTGGAACAGCACGAATGGACGGCAAAACCTGGAGATTGTCAGCTGACGCTGGTTCAATAAACGCACGTAATGGATCAGGTGAAAGCTACAGGCGAGGAGACTGGAAGTGCAAGGAGGAGGGACCCAGAACGCAGAAGCTAGAAGGCTGCAAAGCAAACAAGGTTGGGGTGGGGGAGGAAAGCGAGCAGCAGCATAACGGCACGTGAGATGATCACTCGTGGGAAAATCGCTCGTGCAAGAGCGACAGCAGCAGCAGCAGCAGCAGCAGCAGCAGCAAGCAAGGGAAGGGGCGAGCGGCAGGCCTTGCTGAGCGTTTCGGCAACATCCAGGCGACGAGTAAAATCGGGCCGTTGGATTATCGGGGCTGACAGGACATCCCATCGCATCGCCTGGTCTCGCAGATTGGTTCGCCTGGGCTGACGGTTTGGCTTCACGTGGCTGAAACCGTAATGTTACGGAGGTTGATTTCTGTCGGTGGTGCTGTTCGCAAGCGTTCGCATGCAACCTTCGAAATGCTCCCACGTGGCGTAAAAATTTAATTGAAATGTACTCGCTAGGGACGCACTTCATATTCGATTCTGCTGCTTCCTTCTTTTAGCAAAGAATCATGTATCATTCTTCTGGTACCCCCAGTATGGCGCTTCGGTAGCTGTCCAACGCGTCTGACACAACTGCAACTAACCAATGAAATGTCACACACAAGTGGTCCAGCCCAGAGGCAAACCTGCAAACCCCAAACCGAGCCGCAAATTGGCGGGGAGACCACCCTCGAGCCGAGCCGAAGCAAACTGAATTCTGGCCGAACCTCACACCTTTCAGTCAAGGCGAATCATAGCGCGACACATGGTTTCCCGCCCAGCGCTATTCTGGCCCGGCGATTCTTGAAGCCCCTGCTGACGCGCCGAGCCTGGATTCTCGAGATGATGTGTGATGGTCTCGAGGAACAATGATCTCCAGAGGAGGTGATGGGTGCAGGTTTGGAAATTGTTACAGGAGGGCGTGCCCTAAGTGCAAAAACGCTCGTTTTTGGTTTCCGGTGCAGCTCGGTCTGGCGTAGTAGATTCGGGGTGCGATACTTAAGGCTCCAGAGCGATAACTTTTTCAAAATCGCAACTCCCGACTTGCCCTCACTCCTGGCTGCCAATACCATAGCTAGCGCACGTCAAGTAAAAATCAGCTGGCTGTCAGTGGAAAGGCCAGCGATGGTAGAATCGAGGGAAGAAATCGAGGATTGCCTGACCATGCCAATCCATCACCAAATGAGACCTGAAGAAGCATCAGAGGTTCTCGTGATTCTTCAAACCATTGTTGCACGTCTGAATTCTGGAAGAAGTGACTTCCAGGACAATCTAGAGTGAAAAGCATCTTGATATTAGTGACGGCCGTAGCGTTCCGTAGTATGACTTAGCTTGTGTAGGTGAGAACGGCTCTGACAACAGAATGACGAAAGCTGGAGATCCGTCTTCCACGGCGGACCAACGAGCGGAAAGGCCAGGAGGCGTTGAACCGTCTGCCACGCCGCGATCGTCGTCGAGTGGTAATCTGGGTTCAGCAATCCCTAGTCCTGTAGTTAAGCAACGGTTACTCTTCCAGTCACCGCAACGAGCATCGGAACTGCTTACAGCGAAGGAAAACGGTCCTGGCAAGGAGGGAGACTCTGGTGTTCCAGTTTCACCCAAGCCTGGCCTGAAACTCCCAGGTTCGGTTAATCTCCGAGCCTCGTGGACACCTTCGTCTCGCCTTCCGTCAAACCTTCCACGTAGATCAGCTTCGGGTCATGGCTCGGAGGAGGGTGGGGAGCTGAGCCGGACCAGTTCAGCAAGCTCGGATGCCGGAAGCAGGCTCGGGGCGGAAACGCCGGGAAGGAGCAGCATGACTGACGCCGCGAGTGCTAGTAGAATTCATTTCGCTGGCGGGGGAAAGGCGACTGGAGTCCTGCGGCCGAGTAACCACAGTACGTTTTTCCTAACATATTGTGTTCTACTAGAATGAAGAGAAGATGCAGTTGTTTTTTCTTTTTCTTTTTTCTTCTCCTCTTTCTTTTTCGCTTGTTTACTAGGACGGTGGCGTTTAAGCTTTTCATTCCGAAGGACAACCGCACTATACCTCTTTAATAGCTGCAGATCTGCTTTGAGCTTTCTCTTCTGTCTCTTGCATCATTATCTGTCTGTTTCGTACGCTTTCATTTTCCGCTGTCCGCTGAAACAGCTGGCGAGCAGGCGGCCTCTTTGGCTGCTGACGTCAAACCCGAACGGAAGACGAACCTTGGGCAGGAGCAGCGCCAGCGTCAGCAGGATACACCGCGCCAGCAGCAGCAGCAGCAGCAGCAGCAGCAGCAGCAGGCCGAGCAGCACGCTAGCACTCCTGGTGGCAGGTTCGGCTTCAAATCCCCCTCATTGCAAAATCATGGGCAGAACGACTCGCAGCCTCCGCCGCCGCTGCCGGTGGCGCACCAGCAGTTGAAGCAGCCGCAGCAGAGCCACAACCAGCAGCGGGGTCAGACCCAGACGGGGGAACGCACTTTTGGAAGCTTCTCCGCAGGTGGGAACGGGTCTGACAGGCGGCTCAGTTTTGGAAGGGTGGAGTCTCAGCATAGGGCGAAAGAGACGACAGGCGCGGAGAGGAAAGGCGCAGGGGGAGGTCGGGAGGGAGGTCAGCGCGCGAGCGAGGGGGAACAAGCGGAGGAGGCGGAAAGACAGATGGAGATTGAGAGGGAGAGGGAAGAGGAGAGGGAGAGGGAGATGCAGAGAGCGAGAGAGAGGGAGGAGAAGGAGAGGGAGATGCAGAGAGCGAGAGAGAGGGAGGAGAAGGAGAGGGCGGAGAGGGAAGAGAGGGAGAGGATGTTGAGGGAAGAGAGAGAGAGGGAGAGAAGGGAGAAGGAGAGGAGAGCGCAGGAAGAGAAAGCAAGGCGAGAACGAGAAGAGAAGGAGAGGATTGAGAGGGAGAGAGCTGAGCGGGAAAGGAAGGAAAAGGAGAAGGTCGAACGGGAGAGGATGGAGAGGGAAAGGAAGGAGAGGGAGAGGCAGGAGAGGGAGAGGCTCGTGAGGGAAAGGGTGGAGAATGAGGAGAGGGAGAAGCGGGAGAGGTTGGAGAGGGAGCTGGAGGAGCGGAGAGAGAAGGAGAGGCAAGAGGAGCTGGAGAAAGTGAGACAGAGGGAGCGAGAACGGTTGAGAGAGGTGGAGCGAGAGATGGACCGGCAGAAGCAGCTGCGAATAAAGAAGGAGAGGGAGAGGGAGAAGGAGAGGGTTAAGGAACGAGAAAAGGAGCGGCAGAGGTTGGAGGAAAGCGAGAAGGCGCGGGAGAGGGAGAGGGAGAAGGAGAGGGAAAGGGTGAGAGCGGAGCAGAGGCAGAGGGAGGAGGAACGGCGGTTGAGGCGGCAGCAGGAGCTCCAGAGGCGGAAGGAGAGGCGTGGGGATCAGCTGTCGGTGCACATGGGAGATCCTCTTCGAGTTCTCTCCTGGGCTGCTGGAGCGGGAGTGCGTTCTGCTTCGCTCGGGGAAGATTCCAGCTCGTTTGGCACACCGTTTAAGGTACATGTTGCACTTTAGGCCCTCTTTGTGTGCTCTCCTGGGCTGCGGGAGCGGGAATGCACTCTGCTGCATTCGGCGAGACTTCCAACTCGCTTGGCAATGCATTTAAGGTAGGATTTGTACTTTAGGTTAAATGTGCACTTTGAGGTTGTATTTGGCTTGCATTTACTGCGATACGGATCAAGGTACAACTTGCAAGTGCAAATGCGCCATCCTTGCCTTTCTGATTGGTTCGGTGTGCTATTGTCCGTATTTTATTGTTGGTGATGTGATGGCATGTGATGTGACTATGTACGTTTCTGCTTTTCAAAATTGTGGCGCCTCAAAATTATGTATTTTTCTGCTATTCTTGCTGGTTTCAGGCGGTCCTAGATGATTCCCAGGTGCTGCAGCAGTGGGTGCAGCGAGCAGCTCTCTTTCATAGCAGGCTGGGGTTTGGCGTGGCACCAGCATCACCAGCTGTAGCTGACGTGGTGCCACCATCAGCTGTAGCAGACTTCTGGCGAGGTGTTAGTGCAGCAGTGGAGGCTGCAGAGGATGTGGCTGTAGCGGGGGGTGATGAGCAGCAGGAGGGTGTGACTATAGAGGCATATGATTTAGCTGCAGTGCGGCAGTTGCAAGAGAACGCAAGGAAGCGAGGTAAGAGGGTGCACAGTTGGCTTCCGTTGGGACTTCTGGTGTGGTGCCTTAAAGCCATGCTAGCTGTTGTGGTCGTCCGCCTCAGATTCTTTCTTGCATCCCCCATGGCTCTTGCTTTCCCCATGGCTCTTGCATTCCCCATGGCTCTTGCATTCCCCATGGCTCTTGCATCCCCCATGGCTCTTGCATTCCCCATGGCTCTTGCATTCCCCATGGCTCTTGCATTCCCCATGGCTCTTGCATCCCCCATGGCTCTTGCATTCCCCATGGCTCTTGCATCCCCCATGGCTCTTGCATTCCCCATGGCTCTTGCATTCCCCATGGCTCTTGCATTCCCCATGGCTCTTGCATTCCCCATGGCTCTTGCATTCCCCATGGCTCTTGCATTCCCCATGGCTCTTGCATTCCCCATGGCTCTTGCATTCCCCATGGCTCTTGCATTCCCCATGGCTCTTGCATTCCCCGTGGCTCTTGCATTCCCCATGGCTCTTGCATTCCCCATGGCTCTTGCATTCCCCATGGCTCTTGCATTCCCCATGGCTCTTGCATTCCCCATGGCTCTTGCATTCCCCATGGCTCTTGCATTCCCCATGGCTCTTGCATTCCCCATGGCTCTTGCATTCCCCATGGCTCTTGCATTCCCCATGGCTCTTGCATTCCCCATGGCTCTTGCATTCCCCATGGCTCTTGCATTCCCCATGGCTCTTGCATTCCCCATGGCTCTTGCATTCCCCATGGCTCTTGCATTCCCCATGGCTCTTGCATTCCCCATGGCTCTTGCATTCCCCATGGCTCTTGCATTCCCCATGGCTCTTGCGTTCCCCATGGCTCTTGCATTCCCCCATCTCCACCCCCCTTCCTTTTCATAGGAGTCCAGTTTTGAGGCGCCTCAAGACCAGACTCCCTTCTTGCCCTATATGGCAAGATCCTTCCCTACCCACCAGCCCTTCCTCCCCCAGCTCCACCCCCTTTCCTCTGAGTCCAGTGCGAAGCACTTACTGCGCTTCTTTCCCTCGACCTCTCCATCTCCGCGCCCTCCGCCCTACCCCCCCAGCCCCCCCGACCCCGACCCTCCCCCAACCTGCAGTGGCTGGCAGCAGCAGAGGCGATGGCGCAGCAGGGGGCAGCCTTATGAGTCCACGTGCGAAGCACTCGATGGACTTCTCTCCCTCAACTTCTCCCTCTCCCCCCCTTCCTCCCCCTCCCCCACCCCCCAACCTGCAGTGGCAGCAGCAGAGGCGATGGCTCAGCAGGGGGCAGCCTTTGAGTCCACGTGCGAGGCACACAATGCGCTTCTTCCCCTGAGCTTCCCCTTCTTCTCGCCCTCTACCCCCCCTCTCCCCCCCCTTCCCCCTCCCGAATCTGCAGTGGCAGCAGCAGAGGCGATGGCTCAGCAGGGGGCGGCCTTTGAGTCCACGTGCGAGGCAGCTGGGAGAGGGAGTGAGGAGGCAGTGAGGGGCGCTATCCAGAAGCTGATGGAGTGAGTGCTTCCTCGTTGTCTTTTAGACTGGCTCCTTGAGTGCATTGGCCTTTGAGTCCACGGAGTACGTCAGCACTAGGCAGCAAGCACAGGCAGTGCAGAGCAGGACAGGGCCGCGAGTCAGCAGCTGATGGAGTGAGTGCTTCCTCATTGTCTTTGAGATTAACTCCATGAGTGCAGAAGCTTTTGAGTCCACGGAGTGCATCAGACCTAGGCAGCAAGCGCAGGGAGTGCAGAGCAGGCCATGGCCGCAGCAGCTGATGGGGGAGTGGTTCCTCGTTGTCTTTGAGATTAATTCCATGGGTGCATTGGCCTTTGAGTCCACGGAGTACGTCAGCACTAGGAGTCCACGGAGTACGGACAGGGCCGCGAGTCAGCAGCTGATGGGGTGAGTGGTTCCTCGTTGTCTTTTAGATTAGCTCCATGGGCGCATTGGCCTTTGTGCCATAGCATCAGGCAGCAAGCACAGGGAGTGCACAGCAAGCCAGGGCTGCGAGTCAGCAGCTGATGGGGTGAGTATCATGTGATTGGCCTATGGAAACCTGAGAGGTGTTATTGCCACTAAAGGCCTTGGCCTATGGAAACCTTAGAGGTGTTATTGCCACTGAAGGCCTTGGCCTATGGACACCTGAGAGGTGTTAATGCCACTAAAAGCCTTGGCCTATGGAAACCTGAAAGGTGTTATTGCCACTAAAAGCCTTGGCCTATGGAAATGTCTCCCCATCCTCAAGAAGACCCCATCTTCTCGTTATTCTCCAAGCGTTCCTCTTCGTCTCTCGCCTTGCCACCCGCTTTTCCGCCTGCAGAGCCATGGCCACGCAACCCTTCATTCGCTGTCTTCCCGCTCCGCCCTTGATACGCTGTCTTCCCTCTTCCATATCCCTCTCTTTTGTCTCCCCACCCCCCTTTCCTCCCCCTTTCCTCCCCCTTTCCTCCCCCTTTCCTCCCCCTTTCCCCCCCCTCTTGCTTGCAGAGTCATTACCACTCAACGCTCCGCCCTTGATACGCTGTCTTCCCTCTTCCATATCCCTCTCTTTTGTCTCCCCGCCCCCCTTTCCTCCCCCTTTCCTCCCCCTTTCCTCCCCCTTTCCTCCCCCTTTCCCCCCCCTCTTGCTTGCAGAGTCATTACCACTCAACGCTCCGCCCTTGATACGCTGTCTTCCCTCTTCCATATCCCTCTCTTTTGTCTCCCCGCCCCCCTTTCCTCCCCCTTTCCTCCCCCTTTCCTCCCCCTTTCCTCCCCCTTTCCCCCCCCTCTTGCTTGCAGAGTCATTACCACTCAACGCTCCGCCCTTGATACGCTGTCTTCCCTCTTCCATATCCCTCTCTTTTGTCTCCCCGCCCCCCTTTCCTCCCCCTTTCCTCCCCCTTTCCTCCCCCTTTCCTCCCCCTTTCCCCCCCCTCTTGCTTGCAGAGTCATTACCACTCAACGCTCCGCCCTTGATACGCTGTCTTCCCTCTTCCATATCCCTCTCTTCTGTCTCCCCGCCCCCCTTTCCTCCCCCTCTTGCAGAGTCGTTGCCACTCACGGCCTTGCCCTGCATAGGCTCTCCTCCTCCTCTTCCTCCTCCTCCTCCTCCTCCTCCTCCTCCTCCTCCTCCTCCTCCTCCTCACTCACTCTGTCTGCTGCTCCTTTGGTTCCCACAACAGCCGCTGCTGCAGGGGACAAAACAGCCGCTACAGCCGCTACAGCTGCTACAGATGGTACAGCCGGGGAAGGGCAGTGTGAGTGGGAGGATCCTTTGGTTGTAGCAGTAGGAGGCGTGGTGGGAGCTGCGGCTGCGGCGCTTAGGAGCTGGCTAAGTGTTAGTGTGGAAGGGAGAAGGGGAGTGGAGGGAGGTGGAGGTGAGGGGGAGGTGGCAGGTGCATCTCGGCATGTTCTGCTGCAGCAGCCCAAGGCCTCTCTAGCTGTGAGTCTTGCAACTTGCCAGTCGTGACCTCCACCAATCACTCCCTTCACCAGTCATGCCTTTCAACCAGTCTTCCCCTTCCACCAGTCTTCCCCTTCACCAATCACTCCCTCTATCTTTCCTCTAATCCCCAGCCACGCTCCCTCTCCCCCACCGCATCCCCTCCCTACCCCCTCTCCCGGGCCGTTTCCCTCCCTACTATCTCGACCCACACCCACCCACTTCCCTCATTCGCCCCCTTTGCCCCTTTGCCCCTTTGCCCCTTTGCCCCTTTGCCCTTTTGCCCCTTTGCCCCTTTGCCCCTTTGCCCCTTTGCCCCTTTGCCCCTTTGCCCCTTTGCCCCTTTGCCCCTTTGCCCCTTTGCCCCTTTGCCCCTTTGCCCCTTTGCCCCTTTGCCCCTTTGCCCCTTTGCCCCTTCGCCCATATGCCCCTTTGCCCCTTCGCCCATATGCCCCTTTGCCCCTTCGCCCATATGCCTCTTTGCCCCTTCTCTCCCTCACCAGGATCTAAGGGAGGCCCGGGATGTGCTTGACGTGTGGCGCCATGAGCTGGCACGCCTGCACTCGCGCCTCGTCAGCGTTGTCTGCCGCTCCCAGCTGACGTCAGCAGCGCAGATGACGTCAGCGCATGGCCGCACGCCGTGGCAATCGGCGTCGCCAGCTCAGCTCGCCGGCCAGGACCACAAGATGGGTCCTGCTGACGTGGCAATGGCGTCTGCATGTGCTTTCTTGGACCAAGCCATAGATATTCGACAGCAGGTGAGGAGGCAATAGTGAGGAGGCCATGGCAGAAGCTGCTCTGGTTTGAGCCGTGGAGGCTTCCTTGTGCAGTTGACTTGCGTTGGTGATATTGTATTGTTAATTTTTGAGTCGACTCAAAAGTTCATTTGTGTCTTCTTGTCCGCTCTTCTACCTCACCTCCCTTCTACTCGCTTGCTCCTTCTGTATCCACTCTGTATCCATCTGCAGCACGCGGTGTGGGAGGAGGCAATGGCAGAAGCGGCTCTGGGTGTTGTTTGAGGCGCCTCAAAAATAGACCCGTCTCTGCGTGTTTACTTGCTGTCTGCAGCACGCGGTGTGGGAGGACGCAATGGCAGAAGCGGCTCTGGTGTGTGCCGTGGAAGGTTCCTCAGGCGGCTGACTTGCACTGGGGAGATTGTAATGTTCAATTCTGTCTAAGTGTCCTTCCTTCTGCTTGATCCTTCTGTGTCTGTCTGCAGCACGCGGTGTGGGAGGAGGCAATGGCAGAAGCGGCTCTGGTGTGTGCCGTGGAAGGTTCCTCGGGCGGTTTCAACAGTGGTGCTGCGGACCTGGACAGGTGGAGGCGGTTCCTAGAGCCACTCACAGACAGCCACGTGGCAGACGTTCTTGAAGGTGCAGGATAACACTTTGGTAGCCTGTAAAAGCCACTTTCGGTGCGGAATGGAAACCTCGTGCTTTAAAGCCCTTCTTAAAAAGGCTATCTAGCTTGATGTCTCTTCCTCCTTTCCTCACTCTCTCCCCCACTCTCTCCCTCTCTCCCACACTCTCACCCTCCCTTCTCACCCTCCCCACTCTCTCTACCTTGTTTGCCCCCCCCCCCCCCCCTTCCCGCCCCTCTCCCACAGGCCACCTTGCCAGCTGGCGGGCGGCACAGAGCATCTACTGGGCGGCAGTGGAGGGAGAGGAGGAGGCGATGGCGGGCCTTCTGCAGGCGAGACTGGGGGAGGTGCCATCTGCCATGGGGAGGCTGCAGCTGCTGGCGCAGTGCTCAGGATTTACTGCACTTCCTAGGGTATGGCTACACGCGTAGTGTGTATAGGTGGATATGATAGGGAGGTTTGCTGCAGGTGAGACCGGGGGAGGTGCCATCTGTTATTGTCGGGTTGTTATTGTTGCCTGTATTGTTGGCAACACCTGGCTAGAGTTGCCTGTATTGCCTGGTGGCTATCCTGGCTATTGTTGCCTGGCTCAAGAGGTGTGGGAATTCCACCCCTCTTAAAAACAGGATAGACAGGAAAGACGGTCTTAAAGGTGCACTTCCAAACACTTTACCCCGCTCTTTCTCGCTCCCCCCCTCTCTCCCCTTCTCCCCTCCCCACTCGACGGTGCTCTGCAGGTGTCAGCGCGCCTGCAGAGCGACTTGCAGCAGATGCTGCATTCAGCCGGATATCCCTCTCTCGACCTGTCTTCCTGCACCCTCCCCCCTCCCACTCCAGGTCTCCGCACGCCTGCAGCACGACCTGCAGAAGATGCTGCATTTAGCCTGATATCCATCAGTCGCTTTTGAATCTCTCAGCATCAGTCGCTCCCTCTTCCTAACCTCCCCCCCTCCTCCCCCTCCCCCACCTCCCACTTGCTCCTGCTCTGCAGGTCTCGGCGCGCCTGCAGCACGATCTGCAGCAGATGCTGCACGAGGTGGCAACAGGTGAGTCATGGTTCCTGGTGTGCTGTGAGGTGCCCTATATCGCGTACATGCACATACACATCACCACATGCAGCAGATGCTGCACGAGGTGGCAACAGGTGAGTCATGGTTCCTGGTGTGCTGTGAGGTGCCCTATATCGCGTACATGCACATACACATCACCACATGCAGCAGATGCTGCACGAGGTGGCAACAGGTGAGTCATGGTTCCTGGTGTGCTGTGAGGTGCCCTATATCGCGTACATGCACATACACATCACCACATGCAGCAGATGCTGCACGAGGTGGCAAAAGGGGAGTCACGTCGTGCAGCTTGTTCCTGCTGTGCTGTGAGGTGCCCTATATCGCGTACATGCACATCACCAATTGCAGCGGATGCTGCACGAGGTGGGAAAATGTGATTTGTCTAGACTCCTAGAGTTTTGGGCGCATGTGGAGTGAAAAATGATTGTTTATTACCTGTGCTCTTTCTTACTATCCTCATCCTCCCATTTTCACCACTCCTTTTCCCACCCCCCTCTCTCACTTCCTCCTTGTCATTCTCCCCCCCCCATACCCCCCCTCCCCCTCCCCATCCCCCCCATTCCCCTCCCCCCTCCCCATGCCCCCCTCCTCCTTTCCCCCTCGCCAGATGTGCAAGCATTAGAGGAGCAACTATGGCACCCAACAGCATCCTGCCACGTGTCCTCTCTCGCCCAGCTCAGGGGCGTGCCACGTGTCGCCGCCTCAGTGGCTCGCGCCAAGGCCATTCACGGAAAGCTGAGGTCCCTAGATGCTGCTCTGCACGCGCTGCTGGGCGACAGCTGGCGCAGCGGGATTGGCCGAGCGGGAGGGAGAAGCAGGAGGGGGAGAGGGGCGGGTGGAGTGGTGGGGACGGGGGGAGATCGTGAGGGTGGTGGTGGTGGTGGTGGTGGTGGTGAGGGTGGTGGTGGTGGTGGGGTTAGCTGGGGAGGGGGGATGGATGGAGGGCTAAGGCGGTCGATAGCGCGGTTGCTGGAAGATGCTCTGCAGCAGACAGACCCTCAAAAGGTGGGTGATGGATCAGCAAAGCAGTGGGAGGTAAGGAAGGAGAACGGGGGGTGTTCTGGTTGGGGGGTCTATGGAGGTTTGGGAAGGAGCGTGGTTTGGGCAGAGGTGGGGGTTAGCTGGGGAGGTGAGATGGATGGAGGGCTAAGGCGGTCGATAGCCCGGTTGCTGGAAGAGGCTCTCCAGCAGACAGACCCTCAAAAGGTGAGTTGGTGTTGTGGTAGGGATGCAGAGAGGGGATAGCGCGGGATGTAGCGAAGGAGAATGGGGCATGTATGGAGGTTTGGGAGGTGCTTAGTGGGGAGAAGGGGGAGATAGATGGAGGGTTCAGGCAGTCGATAGCATGGTTGCTGGAAGAGGCTCTGCAGCAGACAGACCCTCAAAAGGTGGGTTTGTGTAGGGTAGGGGGGTGTATGGGTTGGGGGGTGGATGGAGGTTTGGGAAGGACAATGGTTTGGGGTTGAGGTGGTGCTTAGTGGAGAAAGCACTGCAGCAGACAGACCATCAGAAGGGTTGTGTGTGTGTGTGTGTGTGTGTGTGTGTGTGAGCACGTGCGCGCATGTGTGTGTGTGCGCGCGCGCGCGTGCGTGTGTGTGTGTGTGTGTGAGCACGTGCGCGCATGTGTGTGTGTGCGCGTGCGCGTGCGTGTGTGTGTGCGTGTGCGCGTGCATGTGTGTGTGCGCGTGCGCGTGCGTGTGTGTGTGTGTGTGTTGCTCTCCTAAGGCGACGCTGACTCGCTGTTCTCCTCCTCTCCTCCTAACCCACCGTTTCCCATCCCTCCCTCCACTTTGCTCTACAGACTGTCAACCAGTGGCTGCAAGAGAAGCTCTCTCCCACCACCACCACCACCACCACCACCACCGCCACCGTCACCGCTGCCACCACCACCACCACCAATAGCAGTATGAGTGTTGATGCAGCGGAGGAGGCTCTAAGGACGCCCTGCTTTGCGTGCTGAAGAGAATCTCCCCTTTCTTCCTTCCGACCATCCACTCCCCCTTGCAGACTGTCTACCAGTGGCTGCAAGAGAAGCTCTCTCCCGCCAGCAGTGACACCAGCAGCAGCAGCATGACTGCGGATGCGGCAGAGGAGGCCCTCAGGAGGCCCGTGCTCGCTCCCTGCTCTACGCGTGCTCCTCTCGCTGACGTCAGCAACACGGATGGGGAGGCGGATCATGCGGAGCCTCTGCTGCGGCTGCAGGTGAGAATGGAGGAGAGGATAGAAGTGAGGAGGTAAGAATAGGAGGGGGGGGGGGGGGGAGATGGTGATAAGAGGCAGGATCAAGCGGAGCCTCTGCTACGGTTGCAGGTGAGAATGGAGGAGGGGATAGAAGAGAGGAGGTAAGAATAGGAGGGGGGGGGGAGCAGATGGTGATAAGGGGGAGCATCAGGCGGAGCCTCTGCTACGGTTGCAGGTGAGAATGAATGAGAGGAGAGGAGAGTGAATGAGAGGAGAGGAGAGGGTAGTTGAGGGAAGTGTGAGGGGGCAGACGGGAGGGGGGGCAAATGGTGACGTGGAGTAGGAGGGGGCAGAGCCTTTGCTACTGGAGGAGGAGGGGAGGGGGGGGGGGGGGGGGGGGGGATTGGTGTTAGGGAGTAGGACCGGTACAAGAAGAGACTTCTCCCTCCCCTCGCTACGGCCCTCTCTTATCCCCTCCCCTGCACCCCGCCACAACCCCCTGCTGTAACTATCCCTTCACCCCACCAGGTCCAGGCGCAGTACAAGGACAGCCTACTCCATCTGAGCGAGGAGGTCCGCACCCTCCGCGCCTCTGGCTTCCACATCCCGCACCACCTCCTCGCTACGGCCCTCTCGGCCTCGGCTGCTGCCTCCTCTGCCTCCAGGTCTTTACACCCAGCCCCAGTGCCCCTCCCTCCGCTCCTCCTGATCCCTTCACCCCGCCAGGTGCAGTACAAAGACAGCCTACTCCATCTGAGCGAGGAGGTCCGCACCCTACGCGCCTCTGGCTTCCACATCCCCCACCACCTCCTCGCCACAGCGCTCTCTTATTCGCTCCCCTTGACCTCGCCACACCCCCCTGCTGTATCCATCCCTTCACCCAACCAGGTGCAGTACAAGGATAGTCTTCTCCATTTAAGTGAAGAAGTGCGCACCCTCCGCGCCTCTGGCTTCCACATCCCCCACCACCTCCTCGCCACGGCCCTCTCAGCCTCTGCCGCTGCCTCCTCCGCCTCTACTATCTCAAGAGCTCTCGAGTCCTTTGCTGATGTCAGCGCTGGCGTCAGCAAGGGCGTGCTGCCGCTGGTGGCGGCGTCAAGGGATGCCGTCTTGGGGATACTGCAGAGTGGTAAGCGGGTTGGTGGATGGGTGGGGATGGTGAAGAGGGGCGGGGTTGGCTGTCCTTGCCTTCGGCTGGCTTTGATTCGTCATCAGCGGCGTGCTGCCGCTGGTGGCAGCATCAAGGGATGCCGTCCTGGGGATACTGCAGAGTGTTAAGCGGGGGAAGATTGGCATAGGGAGAGTCGCGCTATTTCGGGCTCGGGGCAGGAGGGTTAGTGTTAATGTTAATCCAAGGTGGAGCGGCCGCATAGTAGTAAGCGGGGGAGGAGGGGCATAGGGAGAATCGAGTTGTATAGGGCTCGGGGCGGGAGGGTTAGTGTTGCAGGGAGGAGGGGTATGAGGAGACTTGAGCTATTCAGGGCTCGGGGCGGGAGGTTTAGTGTTGCAGGGGCAGTGTTGCAGGGGCAGTGTTGCAGGGGCAGTGTTGATGTTCATCCAAGGGCGCGGACTGGTAAGGACGTGAGGAGGTGGGGTTATAGACTAGCCTGTCTAGGAGATCCTACAGACTGATTTTGGGGGGGCGGGTGGGGTGGTGGGTTAATACTGGAGTTTTTGTGATGTTGGTCCTTGTCTATCTCCCGATCTTTTCCATTTTTCCTTCTTGGGACCCCCCCACCCACAAAGATGCAGGTCCAAGCGTGGTGTAGGAGGAGGAGGATGAGGTGGATGAGTCTGCTTTTGAGTCGACTCAAAAGCAGGCTTCTTGGGACCCCCCCACCCACAAAGATGCAGGTCAAAGCGTGGTGTAGGAGGAGGAGGATGAGGTGGATGAGTTCGCAGTGGGCCTCTGGGATGCCGTCTTGGGTTGTATTCCAAGGACCCCACCCCCCGAACCCCACACTGCCTTTTCCCCTCCACCTTCGGCCCCACTACTCCCTTGTCGCTGCACACTTGCAGGCCAAGGCGTGGCGTGGGAGGAGGAGGACGAGGCGGATGAGCTCGCAGTGTGCCTGTGGGATGCAGTGGAGGGCTGCATTCCAAGCAACCCACCCCCCTTCCCCCCTTTCCCCCCTCCACGCCCCCTCCTCCCTTATCTCCTCTGCGCACATGCAGGTCAGGGAGTGGTGTGGGAGGAGGAGGACGAGGTGGATGAGTTCGCAGTGTGCCTGTGGGATGCCGTGGAGGCGTACGGGGCTGCTGTCACAGCTGCCAGGGAAAGGCACGAAGCTGCTTGGAAGTGCTTGAAGGGGCTGCAAGCATGCAGATACAAGGTATGTTGCCGACGGGTACGCTGTTGGTTGGTATGCCATGTGCCTGTGGGATGCAGTGGAGGCGTGCTGCTACTGAGAGGCATGAGGCTGCTCAGCACTGCTTGGAGCGGCTGCAAGCGTGCACTTATAAGGTAATAGGTTCCACCACGGTTTGCCATTGACTGGTACGTAGTGTGTCGGCGTCTCTGGTGAGCAAGACAGCCACCATAGAGGGTTACATCTTACAACGCTGAATGGGACGATTCAATAGACAGCCACCTTACCACCGCTGCTGTCTGGATTCCCAAGTGTCTGATTTCTGCTGCCTAAGGTGGGTCTAATCGCCCATATGGTATGGGACCATACCTTACTGCTATCTGATCTCTGATCTCCCTCCGTTTGTACCAACCCCTCCTTTCTTCCATACCCTACCATCCAATCAGGACTTGCCAACTCATCTCCGCCAGCTGGCGCACGCGGTGATTGCAGCGATCTCCCGGCCGCCGCACCATGCTGCCATGTCAGCCGCCACATCAGCAGACTGGCAGCGTGAGGTGGCTGCCACGTGGGCAGCCCCTCTGCTGATGCAAGCACAGGCGGTGCTGCAGCAGAAGCTGACGTCAGCGCTCTGCTGCTGGTTGAGGAAATGGAAGGACGTGATTGGAGGCTCTCCTGCTGCTACAACTGGTGCTGCTACTGCTGCTACAACTGGTGCCGCTACAGTAGCTACAGCTGCTACAGCTTCTGCTGCCGCTTCCAGGCCTGGTTTGAATTCTGCTGGGGAAGTGATAAGGGATGGGGAGTCTGACTGTGCCTCTGAGGCCGGTAGTCTGCGCCTGGTTGTGAGGGAGATCGAAGACGTTTTGCTGACGCATGGACCCTCCGTTGCAAGAGAAGAGCGAGCACAGATGGCAACAGACGCAGCAGGGGTGGCAGGGGTAGTGGCTGGTGCGGGGACTGCAGAGAGGAGAGCAGGGGAAGTTCCAGGGGCGGGCTCTTCTAGCCAGGGAAGAGGATATGCAGATGTGGAGTCTTTTGTCGCGTACTTGCTGAAGGAACAGGAGTGCCAGGTTGGGGCCTTGACGCACAGAGTGAGTGTGCGGCAGGTCGGGTCGGCAGCAGGCAGCATTGCAGCAGTGGACAGCAGCAGCAGTGGCAGCAGCAGGGTGGTGGACTTAGAGCTTCACGTTCAGCCTCCTCTGTCGCACTCCCAGCAGCGGCTGCGTGACTGCGTCCACCAGCTGCTGTCTCCAGCTCTCTCTGCTGCTGCAGAGGCAAACAGTGTCCTGGCTTCTGCTTCTGCTGCCCTGCATTTCCCCTCCTCGGGCGTCTTTCCTGGTAACCCTGGTGATGTCACTCCTGCAGCTGCTGGTAAACCTAGTGACGTCAGCAGCAGCAGCAGCAGTGGTGGTGCCGGTGCTGGTGGTGACAGGAGCAGCGTCAGCACGGACAGCTACCATAGCACTGCAAGAGGCAGCGCTAGTACCAGCAGCCTGTTGGTGGTGAGGTGTGAGGTTCCAGTGAGGCTGGAGGCGTGTGCGTATGGGGTGGTGGATGCCCTGGTAGGGGCGGCAGAGGGGTGGATTCAGGAGTGGAGGATGAGCGCTTCTGCGGCGGAGATGAGGCTAGAGAGGTGCTCTCGTGCTGCTGCTGCTGCTGTTGCCGCCGCTTCGGCTGCCGCTGCTTCTGGCGCTGAGTCTGGTATGGCTGCTGCTGCTGCTGCTGCTGCTACCAGTTCTTTTGCTGACGCTTCTGCTGCTGGTGCTGCTGCTAGCAAGGGCCCTTCCTCCTCTCTCTCCCCCTCTCCTACTGCTCTCTGGCGTTCCCTCATAGTCGAAATTCAGCAGGTTCGGAACCAGCTGGCTGCCAAACCTGCGGTGGTTAGCTTCGGCGGAGCCGACCAAACCTCGTTCCTAGCCTTGGACGCAGGCTCGGTGAGGGAGGCGCTGGTGGCTCGGTGTGAGGCTTGGATTCGAGCGGCTGAGGAGGATATAGAAGGGAGGGCGGTAGGGGGATGTAGGGAGGCGATTAAAGAGGTATTTGAGCTTAAGGAGATTTTGGAGGGAATTAGGAGGGATGCAGTGGGAGAGGTCGAGGGGAGAGGAAGGGAGCGGATGGGAGAGAGAGAGGTGGGCGTGAGGAGCAAGGGAGAGGGGGAAGAGGAGGGGCAAGCAGGTGCGGGTTGTGGTGGTGTTGGTAGGAGTGAGGGGCTGTCTGTGGATGTGAGGAAGCTGATAGAGCATCTAGAGAGAGTGAGGGAGGCGGAGAGGAGGGTAGTGGAGGTGAGTGAGAGAGTGGAGAAGCTCAGGCCTCTGGTGGAAGCTGCAATTGCCAGGGGAGGGGGAGGTGATGCGGGAACGGGCAACAATGGTGACAGTAGCAGACGTGACAGTAACAGAGCCAGCTGCAGTGGTGGCAATAGCTGCAGTGGGGGCGAAAGCATCACTGCAGGAGTTGGGCTGGGACTTGTGCTGGCAAGCTGGAAAGAGCTGGAGAGCGAATGGGGAACTCTAGGTTGGGCAAGAGAGGCTGTTATGGGAGGGACGGAAAGAGCATCATCATCATCATCATCATCATCATCATCATCATCATCAGCAGCAGCAGCAGCAGCAGCAGCAGCAGCAGAGGGAGTAGAGGTAGCAGCAGGGGAATCCCCCAATGGCATAGTCTTCCTTCGGGGCCTTGTGAGCGTTCAGGCGTTATCTGCGCTGCAGGTGCATGTGGGGGAGGTGGGAAGGAGCATGGACGAAACAGAGACGTGGTGGGCTGCTGTTATTCCCACCAGTGGGGACTGTTCCAGAGGGAGGGCTGCTGGTGCGCTCGTGCAGTGCGCACGCATGGTGGGGCAGCTTAAAACGAGGATAGAGCTCGTGAGGAACGTGATCGGGTTGATTGGCAGGGAGGGGGGGGATGAGGACGAGGAGGTTGGCAGAGTGGAGGAGAGATTGGTAAGGGTGGAGGAAGAGGCAGGGGATATGCAGCACATGTGGCTGCTTCTGAACCGTCTCTTAGACGCGATTGCGTCGGTTGAAGGGATTAGGGTAGCAGAATTCAACCCCGAATCGGACCTCACCCCTCTGCACTCCGCCTTAGGCGATTTGAACCGGGAGGATGAGATTTCCGGCCAGCACGGCGCGTTCCGGGCGGTTCAGTCCGCTGCCCAGAAATTAATCGCCAGCCTAGGTTTGGTGTCGAAGCTAGTTAAAGCCTCGCTTCAGGAGGCCCACTGGAGGGCCCTCGCCCGAGCCTTGGGTTTCCAAGCCAAGGGCGGGCTCGGCGCCGGAGGTGCTCTCCAGGTCCGGGATCTGGTTCGGGCGCTGGGAGGCTTGGAAGGCCGAGCGGCAGCGGAGCAGGTGTTATCTGCCGTCCAGGGGGAGGTGGCACTCAGGCAATTTATGGATAAGGTAGAGAAAGAGTGGGGGGAGCAGGAGTGGCAGCTCAAGGGGTTCAGAGACAAGTGGAGAATCGTGGGGAATCTCGGACTGGTCGGGGAGATGGTTCTAGAGCATCTGAGCATGCTGGGAGCGATGAAACAGTCGCCATTCTTCCCGCCGTTTAGAGACGCGGTGAGGGAGTGGGAGGGGCGGCTGGGGGTGTTGAGTGAGCTGGTGGACGCACTAGCAGACGCGCAGTCCAAGTGGGTCCGTTTGGAGGCACTCATGGCGTCTCCAGCCGTCCGCTCCATGCTCCCGGACACCCACCGCGCCTTCCACGAAGCTTCCCTCCCATTCACGGACTTCCTGGGGTCCCTCGCCGCCCACCCGCTTGCGATCGACCTGGCGAGCCTCGCGGAGAAGGACGGCGGCACCGGGCGGCGGGTTTTGGCGGTTTGTGCGGAGGTGTTTGGGCGGGTGTTGGTGGAAGTTCAGGCGCATCTGGACAAACAGAGGCGGATGCTCCCGAGGCTCTACTTCCTGGGGGATGACGACCTCCTGCAGCTCATCTCGGCCTCACCATCGGATCTCTCCGCGGTATGTGTAGTGCATGCTTGCTTGTGTCCTAGGTAGGGGGAAGGTTCACTTTCTGTGGCATGAATGGGTTTGGGGTGTGGCATCTGGGCAAGCAGAGGCGGATGCTCCCGAGGCTCTATTTCCTGGGGGATGACGACCTCCTGCAGCTCATATCTGCGTCACCAACTGATCTCTCTGCGGTATGGTTGGGTTCGGTGGGGTATGCGACGGCCCTTGAGTGCTAAAAAAATGGTGAGAGACTTTATTTGTAGGTGTTTGTATAATTTTTGAGGCGCCTCAAAAAAACTTTATTTGTAGGTGTTTGTATACGTGTTTGTGGAGGTACTTGTGCTCCCGAGGCTGTACTTTTTTCGGGGGGTGACGATCTGCTACAGCTCCTTTCGGCTTCACCAGCTGGTCTTTCTGCGGTATAGTCTGGTTCATGTTTTTTTCACATATATGTGGAAGTGTGTGTATACGGGTATGTGAGTGTAATCCTGAGGCTCATATTGGCATCGCCAACTGATCTCTTTGTGGTATGTTGTAAAGAAAGGCCCCACTAAAGCAAGCTCTTCACACTGCAGTCCCCATGCCATGCCCCCCCCAAACCCCGTGATTCCGTGTCCCCATCCATCCCCCTCTCCCCCTCTCCCCCTCTCCCCCTCTCCCCCTCTCCCCCTCTGCCCCCCTCCCCCTCTCCCCCTCTGCCCCTCTGCCCATCAGACCCAAGCGCACATTCGCAAGCTCCTTGTGAGCCACTTCCCATCCCCCGAACACTCCCACATTCGTATCCTCTCATATCGCCCTCCTCCCTGCTCCCCTCCATCCATCCCCTTCCTCGCCCCCCCCAGATCCACGTGCACATTCGCAAGCTCTTCACTGCGGTCTCCATGCCTCCACCTCCCATCCCCCCAACACTCCCGCATTCCGTTCCTCTCATATTGCCACATTTCCCCACATCCATCCCCCCTCTCCCCTCGCTCCCCCCAGATCCACGTGCACATTCGCAAGCTCTTCACTGCGGTCTCGGGTGTCGAAGTGTCCACAGTTTCTAATGACGGCACAGCATCTACACTGTCTACAGCGAACAAAGTGTTGATCACAGCAGCTCTATCAGACGGGGAGAGGCTGGTTCTGCACAAACCAGTGGAGCTAAGTGATGGTGCTGCTGCCACGTCAGCAGGTGTCACGTCAACGGATGCCACGTCAGCAGAAGCGGCGGAAGGCCAGAAGCCAGCAGGAGCCACCAAGTGGCTGCTGGACCTTGACGTGGCGCTCAGGACCACTCTGAGCGACCTGGTTGTGTCAGCCGTTGCTGAGCTGGCAGCCTGTGATTGGCTGGTGACTGCTGGAGCGAGTAGGGATGGAAGGAGCGGGAGTGGAGTTAAGGTGAGCGGTAGCAGCAGTAGGAGGAATGGGGGGAGGTTCCTAGAGTGGCTGTTCAAGCTGCCGCTGCAGCCGGCGCTGCTGGCTCTGCAGGTGAGCTGGACCTCCCTGGTTGAAGGGATCCTGGCAGGAGAGGGAGGAGAAGGGCAGAGAGGAGGAGGAAGAGAGGGAGCAGTGGAAGAGTGGGAGAGTGGAGCAGGAGGAGGGGAGGGGTGGAGGGGAGAAAGCAAGGCAGCAGAATTGCAGAGGCTAGTGCTAGGGCTGGAAGGTCTGCTGCAGTGGCTGGCTCGGGCTGTGAGAGAAAAGAGAGAGCTGGCTGCTGGGGGAGGAGGAACAGGGGGAGTGGCAGGGGGAGCAGGGGGAGCAGGGGGAGCAGGGGGAGCGGAGGGTAACCTGATGGAGGTCAAGTGTGAGGCGGTGATTACAGTGCTGGTACACCTGCTGGAGAGCAGCAAGGGGCTGCTGAAGCAGCACCAGGAGGAGCAGGAGCAGGAGAGCGATAAGGAGAAACAGCAGCAGCAGCAAAAGGAAGAGAAGAAGCAGCTCGGGCTCTCCCTCTCCTCCTTCGCGTGGCGCAAGTGCCTCCGCTACTATCTCGACCCGTCCCTCCCTCCCCTCCACCGCCTCTCAGTTCAAATCGCAGACGCCTCGTTCACATACGGGTTTGAATACTCCGGCTGCTCCCCCTCTCTCGTCCGCACCTCCCTCACCGACCGCTGCTTCCTCGCACTTTCCCAGGCGCTCTGGCACGGCCAGGGTAGCGCTCTGATTGGCCCAGCTGGCACCGGGAAGACGGAGACGGTGAAGGCGCTCGGGCGGCAGCTCGGGCGGCCGGTTTTGGCGTTGTCTTGTGACAGGAGCTTTGATAGTGCGGCTGTGGGGAGGGTGCTGGAAGGCGTGGCGAGGTTGGGGGCGTGGGGATGTATGGATGAGTTTAATCGGCTGGATGAGAGTACAATGTCAGCCATATCGCAGCACCTGGTGGCGATTCAGGGAGCGCTGAAGGAGAGGAGGGGGACGGCTGTACTGGCCGGGGCTGCTGTGCCCGTGCACCCTGCTACTGGTGAGTGGTGGGTGTATGGCATGTGAGACTGGGGATGCATGGATGAGTTTAATCGGCTGGATGAGAGTACAATGTCGGCCGTATCGCAGCACCTGGTGGCGATTCAGGGAGCGCTGAAGGAGAGGAGAGAGACGGCTGTATTGGCAGGGGCTGCTGTGCCCGTGCACCCTGCTACTGGTGAGTGGTTGGTTCGGGGATTCGGGTTTATGAAGCACTGTGAGGTTGTAATTTCTTGAGTCGACTCAAAAGGTGAGTGGCGGGTTCAGGGTTTCGGGTTTATGAAGCACTGCGTGAGGCTGTGAGTGCGTGGGGATGGATGGATGAGTTCAACCGGTTGGATGAGAGTACCATGTCGGCCATGCCGTAGCACCTAGAGGCGATCCAAACTGCATTGGGGGAGAGCAGGGAGATGGCTGTGCTGGCCGGGGCTGCTGTGCCTGTGCACCCTGCTACTGGTGAGTGGTTTGGCTCAGGGATTGGGGGCGTGAGGGTGCATGGCGTGAGGGTGCAGGGCGTGAGGGTGCATGGCGTGAGGGTGCATGGCGGGAGGTGCCAGAGGAGGGAGACGGCCATGCTGGCAGGGGCTGCTGTGCCCGTGCATCCTGCTACTGGTAAGTTTAACTGGTGGCATGGATGAGTTCAACCGGTCGGATGGGAGGGAGGGAGAAAGGACACTTCTGGTTTATTCGTGACGCTCAACCCGCGGTATGCAGGCAGGGACCATCTACCCTCCTTTGCCTGTCGGCTGACCTTTTAGTTACTATATATGTCCTCTCCCCCTCCCTTCCTTCCCCCACTTATACCCCCCAGGCATATTCGTGACGCTCAACCCGCGGTATGCAGGCAGGGACCATCTACCCGAGAGCCTGTCGGCTCTCCTTCGCCCTCTCACCGTCGCCACCCCCGATGCATGTGCCATCGCTCATGTGACTCTGCTGTCGTGCGGTTTCTCACACGCGGAGAGATTGGCTGATGCTGCCACACGCATATTCCAGGTACTGCTGGTGTGAAGATCCGTGCATACACACTTCCAGGTACTTCGCACAGGCATACACACTTCACACTAGGCTTGAGCATTGACCCGGCCCGGCCCGTTTCTGGTCGGGCCGCCGGACCTCGAGCCGAGCCGGGCCGGGCCGAGGTTGGGCCGACCTTGGGATTTTCCCAGCCCGTGCCCGTGTTTAGGGGTCGGGCCAGCCTTGGCCCAGGGGCAGGCCAGGGCCCGCCAGGGGCAAAAAACGGGCCGGTGGCGGGCCAAGGCGGGCCAGGGGCGGGCTGGGGGCGGGCCGAGCCGGGCCGGGCCGCCAAAGGTCGGGCCGAGTCTAGAAAATGGACTGGCCGCAACCACTAGGGGTTTGGCCGGGCCGCCAAAGGTCGTGCCCGGCCAAAACCGGGCCGGTCCCGCGGGCGCCATGCTCATGCCTACTTCACACACACATGAAACACATACATACCTTCATCCACCTGATGCATGCACCATCGCCCATGTGACCCTGCTGTCGTGCGGCTTCTCACATGCAAAGAGATTGGCTGATGCTGCCACACGCATATTCCAGGTAGTGTGTAGGGGCGAATGTGCATGCCCAATCACTTGAATGCACCGTGAATGGTGTTTGCCCAATCACTAGAATGCACCGTGAATGGCTTTTGAGTCGTCTCAAAAGGTTCTGTGTGGGGGCGAATGTACACGCTCAAACACTTGGATGCACCGTGAATGGTGTTTGGGCGTGAATGCCTACATGCATGAATCTGGACTCCTGATGCACGTGCTCTTTAGTCTGCTAGATCCCTTATGTTCGCTCTGCCCCTTGTTTTCCCTTGCCCACCCTCTCCCTCGCCAACCCTTTCCCTTGCCAACCCTTTCCCTTGCCAACCCTCTCCCTTACAGGAGTCAGAGCAGCAAATGGCTCCCCAGCCCCAATACGACTTCAGCCTGAGAGCCCTTAAAGCCGCTCTCAAGTCTGCTAGATCCGTAATGCTCGCACAGACTGCGATAGAGGGGGGTTCGATCAAGGCTGCGAGTAAGCAGAGGGACGAAGGGGGGGAGGAGGCTTGTGAGGGAGAGAGGGAGGGGAAGGACGGGGAGGGGAGACGTGAGGAGAAGGGAGGAGAGGGAGAGGAGGGGGAGGGGGAGGGAGGGCTGGAGGAGGAGGAGAATGGGAAAGCGGATGCACGGGATCGGGAGGAGCAGGAGGAGCAGGAGGGGCAGGAAGGGCAGGAAGGGGAGGATGAGTTTTATGAGGCAGAAGGTGGAGCGGAAGGGGAGGAGGAGGAGGAGGGGAAGGAGGAGAGGAAGGAGGAGAGGAAGGAAGAGGAGGAGGGGGCGAACAGCGAGGATGAACAAAAGGAGACCCTTTTGGGTCTGGAGGTGAAGAAATCAGAGGAGGAAAAGGAGGAGACAGAGGAGACGGTGCAAAGAGTGGAAACAGAAGCGGGAGAGGAGGAGGGAGAGGAGGGCAGAGTGGAGGAAGAGGAGGGGGAGGAGGAGGAAGACGACGATGAGGCCCACCGTGCGCTGAGATGGCCTCTGGAGTCCCGCTCCCTCGTGCAGGGCATCTTCGGCCAGCTGGCAGCCAAGCTGGCGCCTGCTGACGTGGCAACCTTCCGCGGCGTGGTTTCCCGGAACCTTCCGGACGTGGCTGTGGAGGAGACGGGCGATGCTGAGCTGGCGGCGGCGGTGGAGGCGGTGTGTGAGAGGGAGGGGTACGTGGCGAGCTGTGATTGGACGAGGAAGGTGCTGCAGATTGCGAGGCTGATGGAGCTGCACCAGGGGATCATGCTGGTGGGGCCGCCTGCTGGGAAGACGACAGCATGGAGAGGTGAGGAGCGGTGGGGATGGGTGAGAAGGGCACTGCATGACTGTGTATAGGGTGCAGATTGTGAGGCCGATGGGGCTGGACCAGGGGATCAGCCGCCTGCTGGGAAGACAATGGCGTGGAGAGGTGAGAAAGGGTGAGATGCGGTGTTGGGTGGTAGGGAGTGGGGCGCACTATGCTGCTGGATTATGCTGGTTAGGCCGCCTGCTGGGAAGAGCCCTGCATGGAGAGTAAGGGTGTTTAGGATTAGGAGGGCGTTCCGTATCTTGATTATAGAACACAAATGGCGAGGCTGACGGGGCTGCCCCCAGGGGATCATGCTGGTGGCCTGCTGGGAAGTCAACTGCTTGGAGAGGTGAGAAGGGGTGGAGAGTTAGGGTGTTTGGGATTGGGGTATCGGGTTTCCTGCGCGAGTTCTCCTGCCCGAGTTCTCCTGCGCGAGTTCTCTCCGAGTTCTCCTGCCTTCTTCCCTTGTGTGCAGTGCTGCGCAAGGCAATAGAGCCATCACAAGGCGTGCAGGTCTCAGTGACAGTGGTCGATCCCAAGAGCCTATCCAAGGAGGCGCTCTTTGGGAGTGTGGATGCAACTACTAGGGAGTGGCAGGGTGGCATGTTTTCACTCGGGCCGCTTCTCTCTCGTCCTCCCCTCCCTTCCTCTCCTTCCCTCTCTCCCTGGTGTGCAGTGCTGAGGAAGGCAATAGAGGCATCGCAAGGCGTGCAGGTGTCAGTGACAGTCGTGGATCCCAAGAGCCTTTCCAAGGAAGCGCTGTTTGGGAGTGTGGACCCAACTACTAGGGAGTGGCAGGACGGGGTGTTCACTAGAGCGCTTAGGGATGTGGTGAGGGGATATGAGGAGGAGAGGGAGCGGGAGACGGAGGGAGGGAGTGTGGTGGAAGGGGAGGAAGAAGAGGGCGTGAGGGATGGGAGGGAAGGGGAGGGGGAGGAGGAAGATGGAGTGGGGGTGCAGCGTGTGCAGCAAGGGCCAGGGGGCAAGGCGTGGAGGCGGCTGCACTGGTTTGTGTTTGATGGCGAGGTGGACCCCATCTGGATCGAGACGCTCAACTCGCTGCTGGACGACAACAAGGTGAGAGAAAGGCGAGGTGAGAGCGCCTTTTGACCTGACTAATTTGCATGTGTAACAAGGAGCAGGGGGCAAGGCGTGGAGGGGCAAGGAAAATGGGGCAAGGCGTGACGGCGGCTGCAGTGATTTGTGTTTGATTTGATGGCGAGGTGGACCGGATGTGGATCGAGACGCTTAACTCCCTGCTGGACGATAACAAGGTGGTCGCGCCTTATCAGTTGACTCAAAAGCACGTGTAACAAGGAGATTTTTTAGAATTCCAAAAAATCTTCGGCTCAAAAGAATGTGTCACAAGGACAGGGGGCAAGGTGTGGAGGGACTAGCCGTAGAGGCGGCTGCACTGGTTTGTGTTCGATGGGAAGGTGGACCCCATCAGGATCGAGACGCTCAACTCGCTGCTGGACGACAACAAGGTGAGAGCGAGACAGACAGGATGCCGCCACAATGATGATGATGGGTTGGCAAGCCGTGGAGATGGTTGCACTGGTTGGTGTTCCATGGGGAAGTCGACCCGATCTGGATCGAGACGCTCAACTCGCTGCTGGACGACAACAAGGTGAGAGCGAGACGGACAGGATGCCGCCACAATGATGATGATGGGTTGGCAAGCCGTGGAGATGGTTGCACTGGTTGGTGCTCCATGGGGAAGTCGACCCGATCTGGATCGAGACGCTCAACTCGCTGCTGGACGACAACAAGGTGAGAGCGAGGCAGCTTGTACAGGGGATACAGAATGATGCCCCCAATTATGGCAACACTATCCCACATATTTCAAGTGCATTGAAAACATATCCTTCCACTCTACCCATTCCCCCTCCATCGGATTATGACACTACCCAATGGCGAGCCTTCTCAACCACGGATCCTTCCTCAACCACGGCAGCACTATCCCGCATATTTCAAGGGCATTGACAACATATCCTTCCACTCTACTTGTCGCCCCTCCGTCAGGTTATTATGACCCTACCCAGGGACGAGCGTGATTTTTGAGTCGACTCAAAAATCCCCTACCCATGGACGCTCCTCCGCCAGCATATCCTTTATTGACAACATATCCTTCCTTCCACTACTTGTTGCCCCTCCGCCAGGTCATGACCCCCTCTCCTCTCCTCCCTACTCCCTACCCAGGGGCGAGCGTCCCCCTCTCCTCCCCCACGTGCTCTGCATATTCGAGTGCCCCTCTCGCACCCCTTCCACTCCACCCTTCATAACTACCCTCCATTCTCCCCTTCCCCTCTCCGCCAGGTCATGACCCTACCCACAGGCGAGCGTCTCCCCCTTCTCCCCCACGTGCACTGCATATTCGAGTGCCTGTCTCTCACCCCTTCCACTCCACCCTTCATAACTACCCTCCATTCTCCCCTTCCCCTCTCCGCCAGGTCATGACACTGCCCACAGGCGAGCGTTTGCCCCTTCTCCCCCACGTGCACTGCATATTCGAGTGCCCCTCTCTCGCCCACGCCACCCCCGCCACCATCTCTCGCCTCGGCGTGGTGTGCTTCCCGCCCTCCCTCCTCTCCACCCCCATGCTCCTCAACCGCTTCCGCTTCCTCCTCCCCCCGATGCCCTTCACTCAACCACCTCCCCCATCCTCCTCCTTCTCCTCCTCCACTCCCCCCCTCTCCTCCACCGTCACCCCCCCCCTTCTCTCCTCTCTTCCCTCTTCTGCAACTCTTGTCCCCACCACCACCACCACCACCCTCTCTTCCCACTCTTCCCACTCTTCCCACTCCTCCCACTCCTCGCTCTTCTCCCCGCCACTCTTCCTCCCCTCCCGCCTCTCCCTTGGGATTGACGCCCCAGACGAGCATCTCGTGCTGCTGCCGCCCGGCCTGCCCCAGCCTCTGCTACAGCCGGTGCTGGCTGTGGCGCTGGCCGCGCTACAGCCGGGGGGGCTGCTGCAGCAGGCTCTAGAGGCCGCTGCTGCTGTCAGTGGCGCTGCTACTGCTGCTGCCGCCGCTACAGCTGCCACAGCTACAGGGTCAGCACAGGGAGAATCCATTTCCTTTGACTCCATGCGGGCCCTTCGCTCCGTTTTCCTCTACTATTGTTACCGAACCTCCGACCTCTGCCGTCCCCCCGCCTCCAGTGCCGATCCGTTCAAGAGTGACACTCTTGAAACAGGACGCAGTAAGGGTTCTGAGGGGACCCAGAAGGGTGGCGCTGAGTGGCAGGTAGTGGTGGTGCAGAGGTTTGTTAGAAAGGCCATGGTAGAATCGACTATGGCAGGGGTTGCAGGGGGCATGGATTCCGCCTCTCGCTCTGCCTTTGCGCACCGGCTGGCAGGTATTCTGACATCTGAGGGGTTAGTAAAGGATGACGTGGCCTGTCGTGCCACGTCAGAGCAGCTGCTGAGCTGTTTTGCTGACGTGGCGAGCGGGCATTGGAAGCCGTGGGAGGCGGCTCTGCCGGGAGTGGCGGATGCTGATGCTGCCGTTGGGGGCTGTTTTGGAGATGAGGAGGTGGAGGAGGGAGAGGAGGGAAGTGAGGAGGAAGAGGGTAGAAGCAGCAGTTTTAAAAGGGGAAATTCCATCTCTGGTCGAAGCGTTGGCGCGGCGAAGCAGAGCAAGCATGCAACGGATACAGGAAAGGCCGGGAGAACAAGAAGAGGAGGATCAGGACGGGTAGGAGCAGCAACAGCAGCAGGATCAGCAGCAGGGGCAGGAGGGGGAACAGGAGGGGGAGTAGACTCAACTACAGTGATTCCCACAGCAGAGACAGAGCGGTTGGCAGCGGTGATAAAGGCCAGCCTGGCCCAATCACAGCCCATCCTGCTCTGCGGCCCGCCCGGAAGCGGGAAGACCCTGGCGCTGACAGCTGTCGCGCAGGCGTTGGCTGCTGCTGGGGCGGACGAGGCACAGGCGGCTGCTGCTGCTGCCGCTGCTGCAGCTGCTGCTGCTGGTGGGATGGGGATTAAAGGACAGGTGAAGGATGGGAAGGTGACACTTCTGCAACAGCAGCAGCAGCAGCAGCAGCAGACGGGGAGTAAGCAACCGGCAGAAGGGGCGTCGGCAGCAGCAGCAGCAGGGCCGAAGCTCCACGTGGCAGCTTTTAACTTGTCGCTGTCGACGTCACCCGAGTCGTTTATTGCTGAGCTGGAGCAGCACTGCCAATACGTGAAGCTCCCTGCTGGTACCAGTGGTGGCTTTTCAGCATCGGGGCCCTTTGATTCGGAGCACAAGCCACCTGCATCAACAACATCCGAGCACCAAGCTGCATCAGCAGCAGCGGGAGGAGGGGCAGCAGTAGCAGCAGCAGCATCGACATCAGCAGCAGCAGCAGCGGCCGCTGCACCCAGCATCAACTGGGCTCTAGAGCCAAAGGAGCCAGTGCCTGCGGACGGCCGTCTGCTGCTGCTCCTAGACGAAGTCAACCTGCCCGCCCCCGATGCGTTCGGAACCATCCGCATGGCCGGCCTCCTTCGGCAGCTAGCGGAGCCGCAGCTGATTCCCCAGACGCCGGGGCAGCAGTATGGACGCAGGGGGGGTAGGATCGGTGGTGGTGGTGGTAGTGGGGGGAGAAGCAGCAATGGCAGTACGCACCCTGGTAGTAGCAGCAGCAGTGGTAGCATTGGTGGTAGCAGTGGTGGTGATGGGTATGCGTATGGGTTCTGGCATCCCAAGCGGCGTGTTTGGGTGCAGCTGAGGCGGGTGTCATTTGCAGCCACGTGCAATCCGGCCTCAGACGTGGGGAGGCATGAACTGCCCGTGCGGCTCACTAGACACCTCACCGTTGCTCATGTGCCGTTTCCATCGGGCGCTGCTCTTGAGAGGATCTACAGCACGTTTATAAGGGGGATATTGTCCCGGCACGCCCCTGCTCTTGCTGCGTCTACTCCTGCTTCTCCATGTGCGGGGCCTGCTGCCCACGCGGCCCCTCAGGCGGATCCTCAGGTGGTTTCTCAGGTGGCGGCCAGCTTGGCAGCGGCCATGGTGGAGGTGTATGAAGCGTGTGCGTCGCGCTTCACCCGCTCGGTGCAGCAGCACTACGTGTGCAGCCCCAGGGAGCTCACCCGGTGGACCCGGGGTATCCGATTCGCCCTGGCGCACGGGCAGAAGGGGAGCAGCAGAAGTGTGGGTGTGAGGGGAGAGGGTGGGGCGGGTGGGAAGAGTGGGAAGAGTGAGAAGGGGGGAAAGGGTGGGAAGGGTGGTTTGGGTGCCACTGCTGGTCGGAGCGTTGGTCCGGGTCCGAACCTGAGTGCAGGTCCGGGCATGGGTGGAGGTCTGGGTGGTAGTGCTGGTTCCGGGGCTGCGGCTGTGGCTGCTGGTGGGGAGGGCAGCTGGGCGGCGAGTCTTGTCCTGACGTGGCTGCATGAGGGGCTGCGGATCTGGTATGACAGGCTGGTGGGGGAGGAGGAGAGGGAGTGGACGGCGAACTTACTGCTGCGAGTCGCCAGGGAAAAGATACTCCCAGGGTTCTTACCCCTTGTAGGAGACACTGCTCCTGCTGCTGCATCTGAATGTTCTGCTGATTCTATTCTGACGCTACCTGCCGACCCGAGCCAGTTGGTGTTTTCGTCTCTTCTGACTGGCCGGTATGAGCTGTGTGCAGTGAGCCACCTGAGAAAGCACCTGAAGTGGGCCCTGACAGGGGAGGCTCCAGATGCTGCAGGAGGGGCGGGTGCTGGCCAGGTGAAGAAGGCAGGTGTTTCTTCAGGTGCTATGGCAGGACGGGGAGTGAAAGCACTGAAGGGGGCATCGTCAGGGGAGGCGGAATCAGGGGAGGCAGAATCAGGGGAGGTGGAAGCGGGGGAGGTGGTACTGACGGATGAGTGTGTGTGTGCGGTGGTGCGAGCAGCCTCGGTGCTGCAGCAGCCGATGGGGCATCTGCTGCTGCTCGGCCCGCCAGCTACTGGGAAGTCGACCGTTGCCAGGTGAGCTTTTGGTATAGAGCTGGTGTGAGTGACTTGTTGCGGTGTGCGCGCGCGCGCGCGCGCGGTGTGTGTGTGTGTGTGTGTGTGTGTGTGTGTGTGTGTGTGTGTGTGTGTGTGTGTGTGTGTGTGTGTGTGTGTGTGTGTGTGTGTGCACGCGCGCGTCTGTGCGAGTGTGTCTGTGTGTGCGGTGGTGCGAGCAGCCTCGGTGCTGCAGCAGCCGATGGGGCATCTGCTGCTGCTCAGCCTGCCAGCCACTGGGAAGTTGACCGTTGCCAGGTGAGCTGTTGGTATAGAGCTGCTGTGAGTGAATTGTTGCAGTGTGTGCGCTTCTGTGTGTGTGGTGGTGAGGGCAGCCTCGGTGCTGCAGCAGCCGATGGGGCATCTGCTGCTGCTCGGCCCTCCTGCCACTGGGAAGTCGACCGCTGCCAGGTGGGTTGCTGCTACAGGGCTGGTGTGAGTGACTTATTGCCGTGTGTATGGGAGTGTGTGTGTGCGGTGGTGAGGGCAGCCTCGGTGCTGTAGCAGCCGATGGGGCATCTGCTGCTGCTTGGCCCGCCAGCCTCTGGGAAGTCAAGGAGAGCCTTCATGCAACACTCTCACATTATTGCTCTTTCTTCTCCCATTGAAACCAACTGCAGGGCTGCAATCGCTGTATCAAACTTTGTTGAAGGTGCAAATGGCGCTGCAGGAAGGGTTCAAGGGCCGCTTCATGCAACACTCTCACATTATTGCTCTTTCTTCTCCCATTGAAACCAACCCCAGGGCTGCAATCGCTGTGTCGAATCTGTTGGAGGTGCGGGTGGTGCTGCATGAAGGGTTCGGGGAGAGCCTTCGTGCTACACTCTCACATCGTTGCTCTTTCTTCTCCCATTATTGCTTTTTCTTCTCTCATTGAAACCAACTGCAGGGCTGCAATCACTGTGTCAAATCTGCTGGAGGTACGGGTGGCACTGCACGAAGGGTTCGGGGAGAGCCAGCTGGACGGCCCACTGGAGGAGGCTCTGTGGGCGGCAGGGTGCGACGGGCGGCGCGTTTGTCTTCTTCTGGAGGAGGCTCATCTGGTGGAGAGCGCAGTGCTGGAGAGGCTCAATGCGTTGCTTACTGGGGGGGACGTGGCAGGGCTGTTCGGGGCGGAGAAGCAGCAGGTGAGAGATCAGAGAAGTGATGAGGTGAGCGAGCGGTTGATGGTATCGAGAAGTCCTAGCGTGTCGTCTGGTGGAGGGCGCAGTCCCCACCTTTCCCCCACCTTCCCCCCCACTGCCCCCCACCTTCCCCCCACCTTCCCCCCACCTTCCCCCCACTTTCCCCGCACTTTCCCCGCGCTCTTTAACCGCTGCACCGTGCACTCCCTCCCTCACGCCCTCTCCCCCCCCCCCCTCCATTTCAGGAGCTCCACGAGGCTCTTCGTTCGGCTGCCGAGGCTGAGGGAGGTTTGGTCCGAAGCGAGGAGGAGGCCCTGGCGGGCTTCCGAAGGAGACTCCAGGCCAACCTGCATGTGATTCTCACGATGACCAGCCAGGGCTCGGCTGACATGCGCCAGAGAATGCTGGCTTCCCCCGCGCTGTTCAATCGGTGCACGGTGCACTGGCTGGCGCCGTGGGGTGAGAAGGCGCTTGCTCCGCTCGCCCGTTCGCGGCTCTCGGGTCTTTCACTCGTCCACCCTGTTGGGGCAGCAGCAGCAGCTGATGGTGGTGCTGGTGGTGACGGTGCTGGTGGTGGTGGTGCGGGTGATGGTGGTGCTGTGGAGGCGAAGGAGAGGCAGTTGCTAGCAGATCTGCTGGTGGCGATTCATGGCAGCGCTGTCAGTGCTGTTAGCGAGTCACTCAATAGCAAGGCTTCGGGGAAGGGAGGGCTGGGAGGGAACCAGCAAGAGCAGGCAGACCAGCAGCAGCAGCAGGGGGCGCAGCAGCATGCCTTCTCTGCGGATTCCCTCATCTCCCTCCGCTCCTTCTCCGACCTCCTCGCCCACTTCCACTCCTCAGTATCCCACTCCCACCGCCGCGCAAACCGCTCCTTCCAGCACCTCTCTCTCGGCCTCACCAAAGTCACCGCGGCAGAGCAAAGAGTCGTGCTTCTCCGCCGGCACTTAGAGCTCAAGTCCAAGGAGTTAGTGGTGAAAGAGGCAGCCGCGAACGGGAAGCTACAGCAGATAGCGGCGGAGCAGGCGCTGGGGGAGAGGCAGAGGGCGGAGGCGCAGGGGCTGATTGCCAGGCTGGACGAGCAGGCGAGGAGTGTGGAGCGTCATCGGAGGGAGGCGCAGGAGAATTTGGAAAGGGTTGAGCCGGCGGTTGACGCGGCGAAAACGGCTGTGAAGTCGATACGGAAGTCGCAGCTGGATGATTTGAAAGCCATGCCCAACCCGCCCAGTGCGATAAAGCTGGTGAGTGTGTGTGTGTGTGTGCGCGCGCGCGCCAGTGTATGCCCCACAAGATGGCGGTGAAGTCGATAAGGAAGTCGCAGCTGGACGATCTGAAAGCCATGCCCAACCTGCCAAGCGCGATCAAGCTGGTGAGTGCATCTGTGTGTGCCTATTCAAGTGTGCACGATTTGAGGAGGTGTGCATGGTACTCCATGTGTGCCTGTTCAAGTGTGCATGGTTTGAAAACTGGAGCGAGTGGAGGTGGCAGTGCAAGCGACCAAGTCTGCGGTGAAGTTGATAAGGAAGTCGCAGCTGGACGATGTGAAAGCCATGCCCAACCCGCCAAAAGCTATACCAAGCTGGTGAGTGCCTGTTGACATGCCTGGAGCTTGTTGCTGTGGCGCATCGCTGAAGTCAACACGGAAGTTGCAGCTGGACGATGTGAAAGCCATGCCCAACCCGCCAAGCTCTACCAAGCTGGGGAGTGCATGCTTTGAGGAGGTGCGAGACACCCTGTGTGTGCCTGCTCCCTCCCCCTCCTCCCACTGCCAGACGTTGGAGGGAGTGTGCCCGCTCCTGACGGGCTTAAAGCCCACCATGTGGCAGGGCATTCTCTCGGTGGTGCAGTTTGGATACGATTCTCTCATATCTGCCGCCCACTGCTCGTTCCGCCCTTCCACCCTCCCCCTCCCCCCCCTCCTCCCCGTACCAGACGCTGGAGGGAGTGTGCCTTCTCCTCACGGGTTCAAAGCCTCTGTTCCTCCTCTGCCACCTTTCCCCCTCTGCCACATTTCCTACCCCCGAAGCCAGACGTTGGAGGGCGTGTGCCTGCTGCTCACGGGCTTAAAGCGTCCTTTCCCCCTCTGCCACATTTCCTTCCCCCAAAACCAGACGTTGGAGGGCGTGTGCCTGCTGCTCACGGGCTTAAAGCGTCCTTTCCCCCTCTGCCACATTTCCTTCCCCCAAAACCAGACGGTGGAGGGCGTGTGCCTGCTGCTCACGGGCTTAAAGCGTCCTTTCCCCCTCTGCCACATTTCCTTCCCCCAAAACCAGACGGTGGAGGGCGTGTGCCTGCTGCTCACGGGCTTAAAGCGTCCTTTCCCCCTCTGCCACATTTCCTTCCCCCGAAACCAGACGTTGGAGGGCGTGTGCCTGCTGCTCACGGGCTTAAAGCGTCCTTTCCCCCTCTGCCACATTTCCTTCCCCCAAAACCAGACGTTGGAGGGAGTGTGCCTGCTGCTCACGGGCTCTAAGCCCACCACGTGGCAGGGGATACTCTCAGTGGTGCGGCGCAACGATTTTATCCCCTCTATACTGGGATGCGATATGGAGGCCATAGACCCCAGCCTGGTGCTGCGGGTGAAGCGAGAGTACCTGGATGCCAGGCTCATCTCCTTCGACACTGTCAACAGGTGCGAATATAGTTCACTGTTTAAACAAAAGCCTACTAGTAGGTGAGAATATATTAAACACTGGTAGGTGAGCTCATAAAGCTTTTGAGTCGACTCAAAAGCGTGAGGCGAGAGTACCTGGACGCTAGGCTCTCATCTCCTTCGACTCTGTCACCAGGTGAGCGGGTTGTGCTGGGATGGACTCACAGCCTTCTCGAGATGCTTGTTTCGTGGGTGGAGGCTATAGATAGACCCCGGCTTGGCTTGGTGCTGCGGGTGAAGCAGGAGTTCCTGGACGCCAGGCTCATCTCCTTCGACTCTGTCACCAGGTGAGCGGGTTGAGCGGGTTGAGCGGGTTAAGCTGGCAATGTGGCACAGGCTTCTGAAGATGATTCTTTCTTGACCTTCCTCCCCTCTCCTGTCCTCTCCCTCCCCTCTCTTCCCACTCTCACTGCGTATTGCTGTCAACACCAGGGCAAGCAAGGCGTGCGGCCCGTTGTTTTCCTGCCTGGAAGCAGCAATGCAGTACGGGGAGATACTGCGAGCCGTGGAACCGATGAGGGACGAGATGGAGCAGCGGGATGGCGAGGCGGGCAGCCTTGAGTCCCCAGCCCAGGCAGGAACCCTTGTGGTCACTTAAACAATCTCCCATCCCGTGTAGCCCTACCCTTTCAGGGCAAGCAAGGCGTGCGGCCCGTTGTTCTCGTGGTTGGAAGCAGGTGTGCAGTACGGGGAGATCCTGAGAGCCATGCAGCCGATGAGGGGAGGTGCTGATCTTACTCCCCTCCCTGTTCCTCCCTTCCCCTCCTTCCCCCTGCCCCTGCTTACCACAAACACCAGGGCAAGCAAGGCGTGTGGCCCTCTGTTCTCGTGGCTGGAGGCAGCGGTGCAGTACGGGGAGATCCTGCGAGCTGTGCAGCCAATGAGGGACGAGATGGAGCAGCTGGAGGGCGAGGCGGGCAACATGGCGGAGGAGCTGCAGCACGTGCAGGTGGGTGTGTGGTTACCAGTCGGGTTACTGAATTTATACTTACCATTATCTGGTGCATTTTATGGTCGTGCGAGCCGATACCCCTAACCCTCCCATTCTGTTCTCACCATTCTTCACCGCACTCGACCACTGTCCATCCTTCAGGAGTCCATTAAGTCCGTCGGGCACCGTATGGCAGCATGCACGGACGAGCACACGCTCCTGCCATTTGCATGCGAGGCCATGCAAGCCCACATCCCTACCGCTCCCTTTCTGTTCGCCCCGTTTTGTACAGAACTGCACCATTCTTCACCACACTGCACCATTCTCCTCACGAGCATACGCTCCTCCTATCCGCATGTGAGGCCATGCGGGCCGACTTCCACCAATCAAAGCTCGCCATGCAGCGAGCAGCCAGCCTCGTCAAAGGCCTGACCTACGAGCGCGACCGGTGGAACAGGCAGCGGGAGATGCTTCAATTCCAAAACCCCCCTTTCCGTCTCCCCCGGTTTATCCCACACCTCTGCACCCATCAGGAATCCATCGGCTCTCTGGAGCTCCGCATGGCAGCATGCAAGGACGAGCATACGCTCCTTCTATCGGCATGTGAGGCCATGCGGGCCGACATCCCTACCCTAACGCTTCCTTTCCTTCCCTCTGTGCTTTCCGCGTTCTGTGCAACATTACACCATACTTCACCGCACTACACCTTGCAGGAATCAATCGGCTCACTGGAGCACCGCATGGCAGCATGCAAGGACGAGCACACGCTCCTTCTATCGGCATGCAAGGCCATGCGGGCCGACATCCCTAACCCTCCCTTTCCCTTCGTGTCTGTCTTCTTCCCCACCGCACTGCACCACTCTGCACCCAACAGGAGTCCATTGGTTCACTAGAGCACCGCATGGCAGCATGCAAGGACGAGCACACGCTCCTTCTATCCGCATGCGAGGCCATGCGGGCCGACATCCACCAATCAAAGCTCGCCATGCAGCGAGCAGCCAGCCTCGTCAAGGACTTGACCTACGAGCGCGACCGGTGGAAGAAACAGCGGGAGATGCTTAAGAGCCGTGCCGCCGCGTGCTTAGGCGACGCTTTGCTAAGAGCTGCGAGTCTGGCGTATCTGGGACCGCTGGAGCTGGCGGAAAGACAGCGGCTTTTAGCAAAGTGGCAGGAGCTGGTTGCTTCTCGGGGGTTAAAGATCTCGAAAGTATCTGCTCAGAGTGGGGAGGTGGATTTGCACAGATTTGGGGAGAGAGGAGGGGAGGAGAGTGAGGAAGGGTGGGGAGGGGTGGAGGAGGATGAGGAGGTGGAGGAGGAGAGGGCGAAGTGGGAGGCGATGGGGTTACCACAGGACGAGTACGCGTTACAGAATGCAGAGTCGGTGCTTAAGTGCCGCAGGGTACCTCTACTTGTGGACCCTTCTGGTCGTATGGTCGATTTCCTCAGGCGAGTTCTCTCCACCCCTGCTGCTACAACCGAGCCTGCCACAGCCGAAGATGCCAAACCTGCTACAGCCGCTTCTGCTACAGCCGGCGCCAGGTCTGGTGCTACTGATTCTGGTGCAGATGTGGCAGATGTGGCAGATGTGGCAGATGTGGCAGATGGAACAGGGGATTGCAAGGGGCCAGGGGAGGAGAAACGGGAGGTGGGAGTGGTGTGTGTGAGTGCTCAGGAGCAGGAGAGTGTGCTAGCACGTGCAGCAGAGAAGGCAGTCAGATTTGGCCTACCGTTGATCCTCCGAGACGTCTCTCACATGAGCTCTATACTCTCCTCCCTCCTCCTCTCCTCCCACTCCCTCCTCTCCTCCCCGTCCTCCCCTCTCTCTTCACATCCTTTCTCCCTCACTCCCTCCCTGTCCAAACTTCGATTGCTGAATCGAGAAATCGATGTGGCCCCATCCTTCCGCCTGTTCCTTACGACCGAATCGCTCCTCCCTCCTCTCTCCCCCTCGCTCCTCTCCAAAACCGCGGTGGTTACCACCGGCATCTCGCCCTCGTGGCTGCGTCAGCACCTGCTCAGCCGCGTGATTGGCCGGGAGCGCGCTGACGTGGCGCAGCAGCGGGACCGGGCAGCGGCGCTGCAGGAGAGATGCCGCAGGAGATTGCGCCAGCTGGAGGGGCGGCTGCTCGAGGTGCTAACGTCACCGGAGGAGGAGGGGAAAGGAGTGGGGGGTGTGGCAGCGGGAGTGGGAGGAGTGGCAGGAGGAGGGGGAGGGGGAGGAGGAGGGGGAGTGGTAACCGGGGTAACAGCTGTTACGCCTGCTCGTGTTGCTGGCGGGGTTGGTGGTGCTGGTGGCGCTGCCAGCACCCCTCCTACTTTCAGCATGTATGGTGGATTGAAACGACCATCAGCAGCAGCAGGAACACCAACAACAACAGCAGCAGCAGCAGCACAAACACCCACTGCCTCTCTCCCTTCCCGCGCTCTTGATTCCCCGATCCCCACACCCGCCCCTCTCCCCCCGGTCATGGACGATTCCACAGTCTCACAAACCCTAGCTCAGATAAAAAGGGACGCAGCAGCAGTCAAGGCCAAAGCCAGCGAAGTCCGGCAGGTAATGAGACAAGTCGACGCTGTCCGGACGCTCTACGCGCCGCTGGCGGACGTCGGAGCGGCGGCTTTTTTTGTCCTGTCTGGAGCGGCTGCTGCCCTGCAGCAGCCACTGTACAGATTCTCTCTGGATTTCTTCCTGAGGGCGTTTGATGATGCGATCGCGGCAGCAGCAGTTGAAGCAACAGCGGTTGCGGATGCAGAGTCCGACAGCGCAGTAGCTGTGAACCCAAGGGTGCGGCTGCTGGTTGCAGCGGTTCTGAGTGAGCTTATAACGAGGACAGCAGAGGCCACAGAGTACTGCCACCACCTGCCAGTGGCCCTCGCTCTCTCCCGCTGCGCCAGGCTGGCAGATGACGTGGATTGGGTGGGCTTGGCCACTAATGTAGCAACAAGGTTTGCCACAGGAATGGGCACAAAAACGGGTGTTGACTGCACAGAGTCTGCTGTAACAGCAGCAGTATCAGGAAAAGCAGCAAGAGATATTTCAGCAGCAGTGAATGAGGAGCTGAATCGTGCTACTGCAGCGTCTGTAGTTGGTGACAAGGCGGCTTATAACGAGGGGGTTTATAACGAGTCAAAGGCTGGTCACTGTGCTGCACTGGAGGCGGTGGTTGGGTTTGTGGAGTCAACGGCAGTCAATGCAGGTCAAATGGACATCGCCGGTCGACAGCTGGTGGAAGCTGTTATCAGTCAGGGGGGTAGCAGTGCTGCTTTGGTCGATAGCAGCACTGCCAAGGGTCGGATAGGGATAGAGCACCCCATGGAGCACCCTGCCGCTGCGGCTCGGTTCATGCAGGCTCGGGCCGAACCTGCTCGCCCGATCCTGGTGGCCTGCGTTGGCAGCTGTGACCCAACTGCCATGCTCACTGCAGCAGCTGCTGCTACAGCCGCTGCCGCCTCTGCTACAACCGCTGCTGATACTACTGCTACTGGTAGAGTAGTTGCTGTAGCCATGGGGTCAGACGAATCAGTGGCAGCAGCGCAGAGGGCGGTGGAGGTAGGTGCCTGGAAGGGCCGGTGGGTGGTGCTGTGTAATGCGCACCTGGCTCTCTCGGTGCCGAGGCACGCTGCATGGCTACAGCTGCTGCTCAACTCGTTACAGTCACGTGCAGTTGCTGTCACTGGGGGTGACAGAAAGTGCCTAGACCAGCAGCAGCAGCAGGTGGCGTTGCACCCTGACTTCCGGCTGGTCTTGACAGTGGAGGCAGCGGGGGCAGCGGTGCGCCTGATGCCGCCTAAGCTGGTGGAGGCATGCGATGTGCTCGTGATGGAGGCACCGGCTGGCGTCAAGGGGAGCATGCAGGTGAGTTCCAGGATCCGTCTTTCCCTCTACCCATCTTCCCTAGTGCCCCTTTGCGTATCTTTTATTCTTTCTCACAGAATTATCACTCGCACCATGTCTCCAACCGAGCTACCCCTCCTTCCTTCCTTCTGCCCCCCTCTTCGTCTTACAGAGATCTCTGGAGTCTATTCTTGCTCTCGCTGCCAGAAGCGACAGCCCGACGAGCGAGGGGCAGAGAGGAGGGGGCACGGACAAGACAGAGAGGAAGGGGAGGGGGGCACCCAGCGAGGGAGACGGGAGGCGGATGGTGGATAAGAAGGAGAACGGGCCGAAGCTGCGAGTGTGTGCGGGTGAGGAGAAGAGGCGGCAGCGGCAGCAGATGCTGCGGGTGCGAGTGGGCATGGCATGGGTGCATGCGGTGCTCCAGGAGAGGGTGCACTACGTACCAAGGGGATGGCTTTGCCCCTACACCTTCATGGACCATGTGAGTCGATCAAGGGCTTGCGTAGGTCCATCTGTGGGCGGTGGGATTGTTGCTACATAAGCATGTGGGCATGGCATGTCGTGGGTGCATGCGGTGCTCCAGGAGAGGGTGCACTACGTGCCAAGGGGGTGGCTGTGCCAAGGGTACACCTTCATGGACCATGTGATTATATCAAGAGTCGTGTGAGTGTTGCTGTTGTGGTACCACATGTGAGTCAATCAAGGGGGTGGCTCTGCCCCTACAGCTTCATGGACCATGTGAGTCTAGCAGGGGGTCTTTTGAGTCTGGGTTCGAATTTGGATGGCTGAAAGGCGTCCTGGCACTCGGTAACACTTGCACAGAAAACACTTAACTCACCCCCTTCGAATCCACCGTCCCCTCGCTTCGATTTCTCTTTTTCTTGCAGGACCTCACCTGGGCGCTCATCCGCCGTCCTCACGTGGGCGCTCTTCCTGCTGCAGGTCTAGCAGGCAGACAACTCCTCACACCTCACTTCAACCAACTCCCTCCGGGCCATCCAAACCCTCCTCCTCTGCATAGCCTATGGGCGCAAGATGGACTCCCTTCTTCCTCACCTAACTCCCCTCCTCCGCTCTTCGGCTTTCCTCTTTGTGTCCCCCCCCCCCAGGATCTAACTTGGGCTCTCTCCCTTTTACAAGCCTGGCAGGCGGACAACCCCGCCCACCTCACTCCAACCAGCTCCCTCCCAGCCATGCAAAACCTCCTCCTCGACATAGCCTATGGGCTCAAGATGGAGTCCCTTGCGGATTACCACACTCTCTCCCGCACTCTTTCACACCCTTTCCCACAGATTCTCACTCTCTCCCTTACTCTCTCCCTCTCCTCTTCTTTCCTCCGTCCTTTCTCCCCCCCTTGCAGGATCTCACCTGGGCGCTTTCTCTGCTGCAATCCTGGCAGGCGGACAACCCCGCCCACCTCACTCCAACCAACTCCCTCCCGGCGGTGCAAACCCTCCTCCTCGACATAGCCTATGGGCTCAAGATGGAGTCCCCTGCGGATTACTGCACTCTCTCCCGAATCGTCTCCCATGTGTTTGGCGATCCCAAGGCTTTCTTCTCCTCAGGGTTTCCACTCTCTCTCGCTCCTGCTGCTGCTGCTGTGGCTGTGGGTAGTGGTGATTCGACTGCTGGTTCTGCGGCAGTTGTTTCCGGTGCTGGCACTGGTGGCGGTGCTGCTGTTGCTGGTGATGTGGTAACCAGTGTGCCGGTGTTACTTCCCCTACCTGACGAGGATACCGAGGAGGCATATATCAGCTGGGTCCAATCGCTGCCTGCCACGTGTCCACCTCAGTGGTTGGGGCTGAAGGCTGGCGAGGACAGTGTAAGGTACGCTAAGGAGAGCGCGCAGGTGCTCAAAGCCACACTTGGATTGATGATGGGAATGGCAACTCAATAAGGAGGATGAAAAGCAATGTCCGCATTTCGGAGCTCGTCTAGACTTCTAGTGTGCTTATTTAGCAGCGTTGCTCTGGGTTTCGTCTTGGTATGCCAGAGGGCAATCAAATACGTAGTGACGAATTGACGACTCTTGGTATCCTTTGTATGAGTTTAGGAATAGTGCAATCCACCTTTGGTGGTGACTGATACAATTGTTGACTCCTCGCTTGGAAAGCAATGTGACACCTGCTGGGAACTCACCCTGGGTATTCCCAATGACAGTAGTAAGAATTCAGCCTGGCAATACTTGTTAGGAATACCAACCCTAGCCAATGCTAAAGAGATGGTCAGAAAACTGGGGTGAGAAGAAAATCCTCAAGATGTTCCTGAAAGAAACAGCAAACGGTGCTTTGGAGAAGTGGGGTATCGATCCCCATACCTCTCGCATGCTAAGCGAGCGCTCTACCATCTGAGCTACATCCCCATGTGAAATGAGATACAATTAAGTTTTATAAAAACAAATAAACATCACCGACAATGCTGGTGCAACTGCCATCTTGCGGATGTGATCGTGACTGCTCCACCTACCACCAGCCCCATCTCACGATGAGCATGACCTTTCGCTGGCATTCCCGAGGAGAAACGTCAATCAGACAGATAGAGGCGAGAGCTTGTTGCAAAGTGAGAAACGGCTACCAGTTAGCTATGCTTTCATGTATCACCGTCGGCGCTCCTGCGATTAAGAGTCGCCACTAGAACCACTAGAACCAGCTCCGGTATTTGGTATAGTATTCCTCGGCAGATGAAAATGCGGAATCTCCGAATGCTGATTTTCCGAGAAAGTTCATGAGGCAACTGCTCTGTTCCCTCGGGATTCTCTGAGTTGCAATTGAGGACTCCGGTAGGCCAGGCTCACTCGTAAACCTCAACGTCGACCGTCTTGCTTCCGTCAAGCCGCTTAACGGCTCACCGTCATGCGACTCGTGACGGTCCTAGTGTCAGAGTTTTAGGGCTCATTATTACCACATTCGCAGCTTTGATTTCCAGCGGCTTGATGCGGTTTACGTGATTTCTATTTACCTTCTCTTTTACTGTACCGAAGGCTCGGATGCCGTCGACGCTGCGCAAAATGACGTCACCATCCATGGCCAGCGTTTTCCTTACCCTCCTCCTCTTGCACTCCGCTACACCTATCAGGGTAAGAAACTATGTCCTTCTCTCTTGCCTTGAAATTCCTTTCCTTTTTCTCTGGCGTTTTCTTTTTTTTTTTTTTTTTGCTCAGGATTCAATCACTTGTCTGATCGCAGCGTGCTAACTAGCTTGCCAAGTCGATTTTACGTTTTTCTCTTCGTTTGTGTTTTTCAGGCACTAAGCCCATTAACAGATGGTCTTCAATCGGGGATAGTCGTCTCTTCTCATCTGGAGCTTCCTGCGACGTCAGAGAACCTTGAATCAACTCCGAAATCGACATCAGTTGGTGGAGGGGAATTCTTTGGGGCATCCTTCGTTAAAGCTGGGCCTAACAGTGCCAAACCAACTGGTTCGGAGTCCGCAGCAGCGAACTTCGCTACAATCTCCGAACCTAAAGACTTGGGAGGTACGGCATCGGAGTTGTCTGCTCCAAACCGCCGCCTTCTCGCAGGCTTACATGGTCCGCGAACCTCTGTCCGGGGCAAGAAGCCAGGCTCGGCCAGGACGGCCGAACCTGGCGGTTCGGCAGGCACTGCTACAGCTCTGGCTGCAGCCGAGGCCGGTGCCTCTTCTGCCGAGGCTGCTTCTTCTACCGAACCTGCACCTGAGCAAGGGGAGGAAGGAGAGAAGCGGGAGGGAGAGAACAAGGGTTTAGATGCTACAGCTGTTTCTGGTGTGGTTGCTCCAGAGGGAGGAATGGAGGGAGGGGAGGAGGAGGAAGAGGAGGAGGAGGAAAATGTGGGGAGCGTAGCTGCTGCTGCTGCTGCTGGTGGTGGTGCTGCTGCTGCTGCTGGTGGTGCTGGTGGTGGTGGTGCTGGTGGTGGTGGTGCTGCTGGTGGTGGTGCTGCTGCTGGTGCTGCTGGTGGTGGTGGTGCTGCTGCTGCTGCTGCTGGTGGTGGTGGTGGTGCTGCTGCTGCTGCTGGTGGTGCTGCTGCTGCTGATGGTGGTGGTGCTGCTGGTGGTGGTGGTGCTGCTGCTGCTGGTGGTGCTGCTGCTGGTGCTGCTGCTGGTGCTGCTGCTGGTGCTGGAATGGTGGAAGGTGCTAAATCTGCTGGTGCGGATGCTGCAGGTAGCCGTGCTGCCACTGCTGCTTCGGCTGGTACTGGTACTGCTGGCGCTGACGCCTCTGGTTCTCGTGCTGATGTGTCTGCTGTTGGGGAGGATACGTCGGCTGCTCGTGGTGACTCTGGGAACGTGCGCGCAGCTGCTACCAGTGAGGGTACCTCTCCTGCTGCTGGTGCTGCTGGCGCTGCTGGTGCTGCTAGTTCTGCTGTTGCTGTTGGGACGAAAGCGCTAAACCCTGGGGCAATTTTTGAGGCGCCTCAAAAAGCGCTAAACCCTGGGGCTAGAGAAGGGGGAGGCAAAGGCGAAGAGGCAGGCGAGCAAGCGAGCGCAGACACAGAGACACAAAAAGGCGAGGAGGCGGGGAGTGAGCGTGAGGTGGTCAAAGGAGATACCGAGGCGGAAGGGGAAGAAGGAGAGGGGGGCGGAGGGAAGGGAGTGAAGGGGAGGGAACCTAGCAGCGAGACCGAATCAACCAGTGGTGGTGAATCAAGCAGCCGGGGGGGAGCTACGGGAAAAGAGGCAGGCAACGCTGTAGCAGCTAAGGCAGATGAGGGATCGGTGGGTGGGGGGGAGAAGAGGGTTGTTGGTGCCAATGAGAAGGAAGGCGATGGGGGAAGCAGCCAAGAGGAGACGGGGAAGGAGGAGAAGGGAGAGAGTGATGAAAGGGGTGCTGGTAAGGATGCGAGGACGGCTATTGGGGGTGCAGGAAATGCGAAGGCGACTGGTGGAAATGTGGAGGATGTGAGAACGGTTGGAGGAGGTGCAGAAGACGTGAAGGCGGTAGGTGGAGGTGCAGAAAGTGTGAAGGCTACTGGTGGAGGTGCAGAGAATGTGCCGGCGATAGGTGGGGAGGCAGGGGGAGAAGAGGAGGAGGAGGAGACAGAGGAGAGGGATATGGCGAAGGAAGAGAAGGGAGAGGTGGAGAGGGAGGGGGGAAATGAGGAAGCAAAGGAAGGGAAGGAGGAGAAGGAAGAGAAGGAGGAGGAGGTGAAGGGTGGGGAAGAGGGGAAGAGGGAAGGGTCGGAGCAGGGGGGAGGTGTGGAGCGAGCAGAGGAGGAACAGGCGGACGTGGGGGCTGCGGGAGGGGACGAAAGGGGAGAGGGAAAAGGGAGTCAGACAGGGGGCGTGGAAAGAGTTGGAGGTCCTTCGGGGGAGCAGAAGGGGGGGGAAGCAGAAAGGAGCAGATTAGGGTATGGGAGGGAGACGGAGGGGGAGAGGGGAGGAGGCGTGGAAAGGGTTGGAGGTCCACCGGGGGAGCAGAAGGGAGAGGGCGTAAGTAGCAAGCAGCAGAGGGATAGGGAGGAGGAAGAGGAGGGGGGAAGGGCGGGAGAGGGGAAGGGTGCGTTGAAGTCAGGGGAGTTAGAGGGAGAGGAAGCAGAGGAAGCAGGAGTGAAGGGAGAGGAAGTGAAAGTTGAAACGGCGGACTTGGGGATGGGGAAAGTGGAAGAGGCTTTGGCAGCTGCAGAGGAGGCGATCATGCCGAAAGCCAAAGGCAGGGATGCTGCTGCTGGTGATGGTGCAAATGTTACAAGTAGGGTGGGGGAGAAGACGGGAGGAGAGGGGGATTTAGGGGAGGGAAATGTTACAAGTAGTGTGGGAAAGAACAAGGTAAGAGAGGAGGAATTGGAAGGAGCGACTGTTACAAGCAGGGTGGGAGTGAATAAGGGAGGGGAGAAGGAAACGGAGGCGGCGAGGGAGACAGATAGTGAGGCAGAAACGAACAAGGGAGCACAAGTGGTGGGTGAGGACGAGGAGGAGAGAGCGGAGGAAGAAGCTGCAGCAGAGGAGGTGGACGAACTGGCGTCAGATGCAGCAAAGCAGCCAGAGAAGGAGGGTGAGGCAAAAGGGGCTTTAAAGTCAGGAGCAGCGATGCAGAGTGCAGGGGAGGATGGGGAGGAGAGGGCGGAGGAAGCAGCTGCAGCAGAGGAGGTCGACGAACTAGCGTCAGACGCAGCAAAGCAAACTGAGAAGGAGACAAAAGAGGCAAGGGATTTTGAAATGGCGAAGCAGACAGGAGGGGAGGAAGAGGAGGAGGAGGAGAAGGTGGGGAACGGTGGGGAGGGAGACGGAGGAGTGGAAGGAGAGGAAGGAGTTGGAAAGGGGAGAGCAAGCAAGCCAGCATCAGCAGCCTCTGCTACAGCAGAAGCAGACCTAACGGCGGTTGACCTAACTGCGGCAAAAGCCACGGACGTAAAAGGTACTGAAGCAGGAGTAACGGAAGCAGAAGTTACAGGGGGTGGTGCGATGAGGGGCGAAGGAAGAGGCGGGCACGGGGGTGTGAGAGGTGGGCAAGTGGAGGGGGAGGAATTGGCTGGGGCTGGGAAGGGCAAGACTGGTGGTTCAGGAGGGGGAGAAGTGGGGAGTGGCAGGATGTCAGGGGGAGAGAGAGGAGAGGAGGAGGAGGGGGGTGCTTTGGAAGAGGAGGGGGGGGGGGAGGACTGGAGGGAGGGGGAGGGGGTCTTGGGTGATGATTCTGCCGTTGTTGAGCGACAGGGGAAGAAGGGAGGCCGCACAAAGGGGGTGAGCGTGGGAGAGGAGGGAGGAGAGGGGCAACGGGGGGGAGGGGCTGGAGGAAGGGGTGGTGGAAGGGGAGGGGAAGCAGATGAGGTGGAGGAGGAGGAAGAAGAGGCGGAAATGGGAGCAGAGGAGGAGAAGGGAGAGGAAGGGCTCTTGCGTAGTAGAGCTTCAAGTGACGCTGGAAAGGGCGAGGCTGGGTCAATGGATGCAGAAGCCGAAGCAGCAGAAGGAGCAGAAGCAGGAGCAGAGGAGGAGGGAGAGGAAGGGCTCTTGCATTCTAAATCTCCAAGCAAAGCTGGGAAAGTCTCTAGAAACGAGGGCTCTGGAAACGAGGGCTTTGAAAACGAGGGCTCTGGAGATGTGCCAAGTAAAGCTGGGAGGGGCAAGGCTGAACCTGATGCAGAAACAGAAGCAGATGCAGAAGCCGGCTCAGCAGCAGGTGGTGAAACAGAGGCAGAGGCAGCCGCCTTTGGTGAGGAAGCGGAGGAGGGGAGAGGGCCAGAAACGGGTTCTGGTGTTGGACCTCGGAAAGGGGCAGGGGGAGAGGGAGGGAGTGTGGAGGGGAGAGAGGGAGGGGGGGAGGAGGGAGGGGAATGGGCCATGCCTGCAGATGACTTTGCTGCTGACGAAACACCTGAAGGTTCACCTGAGGATTCTCCTGAGGGTTTGACTGAGGGAGATGAGTACCCTGCAGAACAGGACAGTGAGGATTTTCCAGGAGGTAAAGGTGCCGGCACACTGTCAGGTGAAAAAGGAGCGGGGACAGGAGGATTGCCAGATACTGCCGGTGGCCGCACTGGCAGCAGCACAGGACAGAAGAGAGGAAGCAGCAGCACAGATAAGAATGCAGTTCCAAGTGGTGTTAATGGTAATGGCCGTGGTGGTGGTGGCGAATCCCCTTATGGCGGAGAGGAGGATGAGTATGGGAGGTTTGAAGGCAAGGACGAGTCAGCTACTTCTAACCCCAAAGGAGAAGCAGCAGGAGCAACAGCAGCAGCCGGATCAGCGGCGAAAGCTAAAGTGGAAACTGCAGCAGCAGCAGCAGAAGAGGAATATGAAGATAGCCTTACTGGTTCAGGGAGGTCCAAGGCAACCCTACCTTCAGACGAAGAAGCCCTCACCTCACAGGCTGAATCACAGCGATCCCATGAGCCCTCTTCTAGTCCTCCCTATTCTTCTTCTTCTTCTTCTCCTTCTTCCTCCTCCTCTTCGTCAGCCTCTCCCTCTTCCCCCCAATCTCCCCCGTCCTCCCTCTCTTCCCTCCTCTCCTCGTCTCTCGAGCCGATTCTCGCACCTCTATCCGCCCTTCTCAGCACCTTCCTTCCTTACGCAGAGGCCCAAACCGCAGCTTTCTACCTCCTGCTAGGCATTCTAGCTGCTCTTGCGCTTTCCCTCTGCGTCTGCTGCTTCTGCTGCTTCCGGGCCGGTGAGGCTCGGGACAGGTTCAGCGGGCTGGGAGGTTCGGCGTATGCGAAGGTTCCAGGAAAGGAGGTGGATTTGTCTCTGGCGCTTGGGCAGGGGCCGAGTAGGAGTGGAAGGGGGAGTGGGGGAGGGGAAGGGTGGGAGAGTTGGGATGAGGATGAGGGTTGGGATGAGGAGAAGGGTGGTAGTGGTGGTGCTGGTGGTGGTGGGGGGGGAGGAGGAAGAGGAGGAGGAGCAGGAGACAAGCTGGCACATATGCTTGGAAAGGCCTTAGACACTGCAGTTAGTACTGGTTCTGGTTCTGCTGCTCCTGCTGGTTCTGCCAGCGCTGCTGCTGGGAAAAAGAGCATTCTTGGGCCAATAGGGAGAGGCAATGGCACAGGTGGGAGCGCTGGAGCTGCCACAAACGGGAGTGCTAATAACGGGGGTGATACAGGTGGCTCAAGTGGTGCTGCTGGTGCTGGTGGTGGTGGGGGTGGAGGGACAAGGAAGAAGACCGGAGGAAAGCTAGTCGTGAGCAAAGGGAAGGGACTGGTGATTCAATAGCCGTCCACCTGTCATCAACCCCGCCGCCACCGCCTCCCACACCCTCCGCTTCCCTCCCACTCTCCCCCAGATCTCCCTCCCCTCCCCCCCTCTCCCCCCCCCTCTTCCCTTCCCGCTGCCCCCACCCCTGTGAGTACTCTCTTATGGAGTGTGTGTGGTGTGGACCCTCTGTTGTGGAACGTCTTGGCGGTGTTGAGTGGCGTCCCACAATGCTACGAATCGGGCCATGAGTGACTCTGGCGGGTGCCGGTATGCATGTGGGCAGTGAAGTGAGCCTCTGGCGGGTGCCGGTACATGCATGTGGGCAGTGAGCCTGTTTTTTGTCTTGGATCCTGTTCTCCCCGCTTTGATAACTAGAACAATAGGGCCACACCCTGGAATATTCTTATCTATGAAATTTTGCAACCTATACCAAAACAAACATGCCTACAGTCTTTTGTTGGGCGGGGTTTACTGGCTCCCCCTTTTACCGGTACCAGGTCAAGCAGGGTAAACAAAACCAAGTTGATGAAATCATGCTTCACATTTTAATATGTACAACAAAATGGGAGTATAGAGTAGAGAGAACAAAGGTGGCCAAGGAGTTACTTATCGGGTCGAATGGTGAGCAAATGCAGCACGAAAATCAGCCGGGTTTGAAGCCCTTTCAAAAGACCCTTCAAAAGCATAAGCATCAGGAGGAGACTCGACAAGAGGAGCAGCAGAAGACCCAACTAAAGCATTAGCAGCAGCACTGCCTTTTCCACTACTACCACCACCACCACCACCACCACCACCTGCAGCAGCAGCAGCAATAATGGCAACAGCACCGGCATTGCCACACCCAGCAGACCCAATCTCATCACCACCACCTCCAGCTTTAGCACCATCAGGAACAGCCGCCATAGCAGCACCATCAGGAGCAGCCGCCGTAGCAGCACCATCAGCACTGGCAACAGTGGCAGCAGCCGCGATAGAAGCACCATGAGCAGTAGCGACAGAGGCAGAAGCAGCAGCAGCAGCACCATTAGCAGCAGCACTGGCAGCCTGAGCACCATCAACAGCAGTACCAGCAGCAGCACCGGCAGCAGCACCGGCAGCAGTACCAGCAGCAGGAGCAGCAGCAGGTTGGAGAGCCAACCTGGCTTGCTTTGATCCCCGTCGTCGAAACGGCTCATGGAAGGCGTCATGTAGCCATTTGATCTGTTGTTTATGGAAGGTGAGAACACGATGTTACTTGTATATTGTCAATGTAAACTGCGTGTAATGAGTCTGCTTTTGAGTCGACTCAAAAGCATTTGATATGTTGTTTATGGAAGGTGAGAACACGATGTTACTTGCTTATACCGGGCTACAATCCATGTGTAAGTGGTTTAGTTCTGGGACATCTCACAGCTAAACTACTTACATATGTAGCCATTTGATCTGTTAAGTGTATCAGGCATGAAACATCCATATCAGACGGTGATTTTTGAGTCGACTCAAAAGTCACCTCGGGATATTGTCACACAAAAAACATCCATCTCAGGCAAGAAAACCCTAAACATGAAAATAGGGGGAACAGGAAAACCAGAACAAGATATGGGCAAGGAAAAAAAACATGATATGGGAAAGGAAAAAAAACATGATATGGGCAAGAAAACCAGAACATGGTCTTAAACAAAGGGGGAAAATAGGGGAAACAGCCGTTCTGTCACTTGTCCCATCGTTGCACACCACCACATCACACACCTCATTACCGCACACCACCGCATCACTGTCATCACTGAACTTTCCCTCCCCTATTCCCGGGCTCCATGCAAGCTCAACTATGGATGCTTTCATGGTGCTGATCAGTCCCAGCACCCCAGCGTAAACCTCATTACCGCACATCACCCCATCACATACCTTTGTCTTCCCTATTCCCGAGCACCGTGCTAGCGCACCCATCCATGGATGCTCCTATCATGCACCCCCCATCACCGCACACTACTGCGTCACACACCTAATCACCCATCACTCACTTTCGTCTCTCCTATTCCGGGGCACCGTGCAAGCTCATCCACGCGTGAGGAGTCTATTTTTGAGGCGCCTCAAAAAACACACCCCATATCTGAGGAGTTTATTTTTTAAGGCACCTCAAAAATAGACTCCTCACCGTGCAAGCCCATCCATTGATGCACCATGCTCCCATGATGTTTGCCAGTCCCAACACCCATCATACTCCTCATTACCGCACACCACCCCATCACACACACCTTTCTCTCTCCTATTCCCGGGCACCGTGCAAGCTCATCCATTGATGCCCCCATGATGTTGGATAGAGTCTGCAAAGGAAAGGCATGGGAAAACAAGCGGGTGCATGGGGAAGCAAGGGAGAGGCATGAGGAAGCAAGCGGGATGCATGGGGAAGCAAGGGGGGACGCATGGGGAAGCAAGGGGGAGCAAGGAGAGCGGCGAACGGGCACATTTTTAAGGCATAGAAGTCGTGTTTTGAGACGCCTCAAAAGGAGAGCGGTGGACGGACACGTGAATGGGCAGCAAAGGTAAGCATGGTTTGAGCTTGTCTAGTAGATACATGCATGATGGCATTATGAATGCTGCCATGATGCATGATGACATGATGCCACGATGCATGATGACATGCTGCATGCTGCCATGATGCATGATGCATGATGACATGTTGTCATGATGCATGATGCATGCATGTTGCCATGATGGTGTCTGGTGACCCATGCTAACTCCATGGGCTGCTCACATGCCCCAACCCACCCCACACTCCACACACATACCACACGCCACACTTTTTGAGGCGCCTCTACTCCTCACTCCCCACTCCACACACCACACTCCGCACATCACACACCACACAACACACACCACACACCACACGCCACACTCCACACACCAGACACCACACACTCCACACACCACACACCACACACTCACCCCGAAGTTGGTCCCTAGAGTGAGGGCATCGGTGCGGCTCACATGGCTTTACAAGAATGGCGCACATAAAGAAGTCACCACACACACATACCACACGGAACTCAGCCCACATACCACACGGAACTCAGCCCACATACCACATGGAACTCACCCCACATACCACATACCACACACCACACACCACACACCACACTCCACACACCACACACTCACCCCGAAGTTGGTCCCGAGAGTGAGGGCATCGGTGCGGTTCACATGGCGAATGGACGTGAGGGCGCTAGTGAGCTGGGGAGGGGGGGGAGGGTGGGGAGGGCAGGGGGAAAGGGGGGTTTAGAAAGGAGGGAGAGGGCGAGAGTGAAGGCATCGGTGTGGGTCACAGGGCGAATAGACGTGAGGGAGCTAGTGAGCTGGGGAGGGGGGGGAGGGCAGGGGGAAAGGGGGGTTTAGAAAGGAGGGAGAGGGCGAGAGTGAGGGCATTGGTGTGGTTCACAGGGCGAATGGACCACCTCACAGGGTGATTTCCAGAGGGGATGGTGAGCTGGAGAGGGGGGTGATGGGGAGGGCAGGGGGTACGGGGTATTGGGAAGGAGGGGGAGAGCGAGAGTGAGATCACCTGTGCAATTCACATGGCAAATGGACGTGAGGGCACTTGGGAAAGAAGAAGCGAGAGGGAGAGGGAGCTGGGTGGGGGGGGGAAGAAGAGAAGGAGGGGATCTGTCTGGAGCGAGAGGAGCACAGAGGAGGGTGGAGCACAGTGCTTTAGACAGCAGGTGGGATTCAGGGCTCTGTTGCGTGACACTGTAACGATGTGACTTTTGAGTCGACTCAAAAGTCACCTGGAGAGAGAGAAGGGTGGAGCACAGTGCTTTGGACAGCAGATGGGCTTGATGGCCCCCTGATCAGCAAGGAAAATCTGCAGGGTGTTTTCTGATGGGCTTGAGAATTATCAAGAACACCTTGACTTGACGGCCCTGACGGTCCTCCTGACTGAGCAAGGAGAATGAAACATGCTATTTTCTCAAAACAAGGAGCAAGGAGACTGAGGCGCCTCAAAAATAGGATTCTCAATAACACCTCGGGGGCCCTGACCTGGTGAGCAAGGAGACTGAGGCGCCTCAAAAATAGGATTCTCAATAACACCTCGGGGGCCCTGACCTGGTGAGCAAGGAGAATGAATCATGCTTACCTGAGATGACTTTTGAGTTTAGTGTTTGGAGGGGGAAAGAAACTAGAAAACGAGAGTATGGAGAGAGAGAGAGAAACAAGAAAACCAATTATAATTACCCGGGAGATATAGTCACTGTCCACTCTCTCTTGAATGCCGTTTGCTGGCTTGTTCTCATAGCTCTTGAGGGTCTCCAGGTAGCGGGCACACTCGTTGGGGCTGCAGGGATGGGGGGAAGGGAAGGGGAGAAGATGGGGGGGGAGTAGAGGAAGGGGTTTTGCAGGGTGTTTTGCAGGGGGATGGGTGGGGGGATGGGTGGGGGGATGGGTGGGGGGATGGGTGGGGGGATGGGTGGGGGGAAGGGGAGAAGATGGGGAGAGTAGAGGAAGGGGTGGGGGAGAGGAAGCAAGGAGAGCATGGTTGCGGCGGGCTGCCTTGCTCTCGTAGCTCTTGAGGGTCTCCAGGTAGCGGGCACACTCATTGGGAGCGCAGGGATGGGGGGAAGGGAAGGGGAGAAGTTGGGCAGCGAAGGCGCAGACTGTAAGTGCTAGAAAACGTGAATGTAAAATGAAAAGGATATGGATACTTAAAAAAGAAGAAGAAAAAATACTCTTCAAAACGAGACTTGAAGCGAGAAGCTGAGTGTACGGAACCACCTCCAGGCCAGGCACACAGCAGTGTGTGTGCGGAATTCTATTAAACCTTTTGAGTCGACTCAAAAGCCTAAAACCCTGAACCCTGGCAGTTGACTTTTGAGTCGACTCAAAAGTCATCTCGGAACCAACCTCCAGGCCAGGCGCACAGCAGCATGCGGAAAATGATTAACCTAAAACCCTGAACCCTGGTAGTTGTAACAGGAGATATGAAACGCGGCCTATCACAAAATTTATTGAGCAAACCCTAGCTTTTTCAATTTGGAGAGGGCCTACCTCCAGGCACACAGCAGCGTGCAGTCGTTTAGAAGAGCTGTCTTGGTGATGTCATGGGCGGATCACCTCGCACCTTTATGGCATACAGAAACCCTGGTGCGCAAACCTGGATTTTCTCAATCAGGAGAGGGCCTACCTCCAGGCACGCAGCAGCATGCAGTCGTTTAGAAGAGCTGTCTTGGTGATGTCATGGGCGGATCACCTCGCACCTTTAAGGCATACAGAAACCCTGGTGCGCAAACCTGGATTTTCTCAATCAGGAGAGGGCCTACCTCCAGGCACGCAGCAGCGTGCAGTCGTTTAGAAGAGCTGTTTTTGTGGTGTCATGGGCGGATCACCCCCTCACCTCTTCCCAAACCCTCGGACATAACCTCAACCTTTCAATCAGAGAAGAAATGACCTCCAGCAGATGTATTGCCATTGTGCGGAGGACTTTTGAGTCGACTCAAAAGTCAACTGACCTCCAGCAGATGTAGTGCCATTGTGCGGAGGACCCTAAAAGGGACCTACCTCCAGGCACACAGCAGCGTGCAATCGTTTAGAAGAGCTGTCTTGGTGATGTCATGGAGGGGCTTGGTGACGTCATCAACGTCCACGTGGCACAGCACGATTCGCAGGCGGAAGCTCTTCTGGAGCTCCCTGGGTGGCCGAGAAGAGAAGGGTCATGAGCAGAGAGGCTTGGAGCATGAGCGAAGGGCATTAGTGAGAGTGAAGGGAAATTATTGGGCTTACGATGTACTTAAAAGAAAGGGAAAATAAGATGAACAGGGTGCTCCTATATGAAAAAAACCGATACAAGTCAAGGTAAACAGGCTCCAGCAGGTGGTACTAGCGCAGCATAAATCGTTATAGGGTGGTGCAATACAGGATTTGAAAGTACCTGATCCGGACGTAGAGATAATGTTTGAGAATTCTCAGGATATTTTTGAGAATTCTAAAAAATATCTCACAATACAGGATTTGAAAGCACCTGATCCTGACTTAGAGATATCTGGACGCAGCAGATGATAGTGCAGGAAGAGGGGCATGCTCGTTATAAGGTGTTTCGGTACACGATCTCATAATACCTGATCCGAAAATAGAGATAATCTGGATGCAGCAGATGATAGCGCAGGGAGAGGAATAGGGCGCAGGAGGAGGGGGAGAGGAGGTAGTCTGGTGTGATGTCGCCAAACGCCCACCTCACATTTCTGATGTGCGATAGAACGGGGTTGCCTCGCTGCATCGAGCGAAGGGACAGGGAAGGGGAGGGGGGGGGGAGTTTGTGGGGAAGGTGGGGGGGAAATAGAGGAGAGGATAGAGCCTGGTTGTGTGATGTTGGCAAACGCCCACCTCACATTCCTGATGTGGGATAGCACAGGGATGCCTCGCTGCATTGAGAAGGAGGAAAGGGAGCAGAAAGGGAGCAGCGGGTTGGGGGGAGGATATGGTGTTGAGTCGGGTTTGGCAATAGCAGACCTGGCTTGATGTCAACAAACGCCCATCTCACATTCCTGATGTGGGATAGCGCAGGGTTGCCTCGCTGCATTGAGAGGGACGAAAGGGAGCAGAAAGGGAGCAGAAAGGGAGCGGAGGGTTGTGGGGGAGGATACGGTGTTGAGAGTCAGGTGTGGCAATAGCAGGGCTTGTGTGATGTTGCCAAACGCCCACCTCACGTTCCTGATGTGGGAACGGGATTGCCTCGCTGCAGGGTAGAGGGGGAAAGGGGAGGGATATGCGAGAAAGGGAGAGGGTCGGGGGGGAGGGTGAGAGCATGGTCCCAGACTACCAGTGGTACTATCATCAGGCATTGTACACCATCAGGCATTGTACACCATCAGGTATTGTACACCATCAGGTATTGTACACCATCAGGTATTGTACACCATCAGGCATTGTACACCATCAGGTATTGTACACCATCAGGCATTGTACACCATCAGGTATTGTACACCATCAGGTATTGTACACCATCAGGTATTGTACACCATCAGGTATTGTACACCATCAGGTATTGTACACCATCAGGCATTGTACACCATCAGGTATTGTACACCATCAGGTATTGTACACCATCAGGCATTGTACACCATCAGGTATTGTACACCATCAGGTATTGTACACCATCAGGTATTGTACACCATCAGGCATTGTACACCATCAGGTATTGTACACCATCAGGTATTGTACACCATCAGGTATTGTACACCATCAGGTATTGTACACCATCAGGTATTGTACACCATCAGGTATTGTACACCATCAGGTATTGTACACCATCAGGCATTGTACACCATCTGCTATTGTACCTGTTTCGAGCTGACGATGATGCAGATGTTATAGTACCATCCGCTCTACTACCATCCGCTATAGTACCTGCTTCGGGCTAACAATGATGCAGTTGCGGTTAGCGGCCGTGAAAGCGAACGCAGCCGCCGCACTCGCCGCTGCCTCGCTGGCAGGGATCGCCATGATCGGTCGACGGTCGCTCTTGAAAATGGGTTGCTTTCGGCAATCCCAAGGGAGGTTCGCCTGAAGTGTCTAAGTCCACACAGGAGGTACCGCACTCGCCGCTGCTTCGCTGGCAGAAATCGCCATGAACGGTCGCCGGTCGCTCTTGAAAATGGGTTGCTTTCGGTAATCCCAAGGAAGGCTCGCCTGAGGTGTTTACGTCGACGCAGGAGGTACCACACTCGCCGCTGCTTCGCTGGCAGAAATCGCCATGAACGGTCGCTGGTCGCTCTACAGGATGAGTAGCCTCGGTAGTACCAAGGTGGTTACGATAAAAATCAAATTCGTTTCGGTAATACCAAGAAAGATTCGCCTGTGAGGTGTCTGAGTCGACTCAGAAGTTACCCCCGCCCGTCGCCACGTCGCTGACAGGAATCGTCATGAACGGAACAGGGAATTCGCGACTAAAGGACCCGAAATAATTTGCGACGATGGTAGAATTTCATAGCACGCTGCGAAGCACGGCTCTGGGATTGTCCCAGGCGCTCTTGCTTGCTTGCCAAGCGACCAAGCCGAAGCCTGTACTCACTAAAGGGTCATACCAAAGCCGGGAGGTTGCCCTGTAAGTGAATCAATCATGCTTCTTCTCGTTTCTTACGGTATTATTAATTCCAGTAATGGGTAAAAAATTACACCTCAAAAGGCCACACAATACGGACCCTTATACAAGCCAGTAGTATTACGGAAGACGTAATTATATTCAGTACAATAAACATTCCTTATCGACAGCAATATAGAACAGATCAACTAGCTTCACGGCGAGAATGCTCATATGTCCTGCCAAGTATTTGAAAATGGCGCTTTAGCGACTGTTGGGCTGAGAGCGACTGCCTGAAACGATGGATAACAGGGGCGTGAGAAGGAAACACGTGTGAGTTCGTGTGAGAAGGGCAAGAGCAGGAAACAACAGGTAAAAAGAATGCAGTAGGCTCGGGAGGAGTGTAGCGTGTGGGAAAGTGAGGAGAGCATTAGGAAGAGGGAAAATGGACTGAACGAAAACAATAAGCCTTTTCTAAGCAAAATGGGGATGTGGATAAACAATGGCACTGAACTGAATGTGACTGTAACGCATTGTAGGAACAATCCAAGAGATGGACACCACAAAGGCATGCCACTTCTGACAATGCTCCCACTTACTCTCCCCGAAGGCCGGCTTTAAGAGGCAATGGCACTGTGGAATGGAGCGACTAAGTGCGTGTAGCACTTACCGATCTCCAACCCACAGCCCCCCCGGGGGAAAACTGGAGAACTAAACTAATTGGACTTAGAACCGGAACTGACATTGGGCCTGTACAGAACTTTAACTTCACGCACTGAATCGACATGGGACACCTCGGCCCTCTCCTCTTCTCCTCTTTCTCAAGTATCCTTGGCGTTACAAAACACACCTTGCTTTCACGAGTCATCGCCAGTTTTGGCTGATTTAGCCGTTGGTTTAGCCACAGAGCCACCGGAAGCAGCAGCAGCAGCAGCAGCAGCTGCTCTCTTCGCCTTGGCTGCTTCGATCTTAGCAAGCCTCGCTTGGTGAGCATTTACGAACTTTCCTCGATGCTGCCCCTTGCCACTGACGTCATCTGCCTGGAGAGATTGTGAATATTGTCGTCAAGTAAAGAATGGAGAGAATAAGGTTAAACTGTAAATTTGAATGTAACATTTTTCAGCAAAAACGCACAGCTACGAGCGAAATTGTCAACTCCCTTCTCTCCGCGGGCTCACCTCGCGCGCAGACTCTTCCGCTGCCGCCTTCAAACTCGCGACGGCCGCCGCTTTCTTGGCGCTGGACATTGCTGCCCCGACTTCGCTGACACAATTTTCACAGCGACGGCCGGCAGTATTCCTCCTGAGCGTCTTAGCTGGGGAGATCACGGTAGGCACTCAGGGAAGAGCCTTTTCTAAGATTTCCGCAAATCGTCCCCTCAAATGACTCCAATTTCACGGATTCGCATGACGTTCACTCAGTGTGGTAGTAATTTGTTTTTGGGACGCCTCAAAGCGGATGAGCATGAGGTTCAGTCGGTGAGAGGCCGGAACGGCGACAGCGTCGGGGGATTCCGGAGCGCGTGCATTTCGGGAGCTCTGCTCTGATCATTCAACACCATCCTGCCAGCGAGCGATGACAGGGAATGGAGCATTCCCAGACACGAAATGTGTGCTGATCGCCAAAAGCTGGGAGATGTATAATGTGTTTTTGCTTGTGAGCTTTGGAACCTGGGGAACATCCCAGAGGACTGCTGGGGAGGGGAACCCCAGCAGAAAGGTGGAGGGGAAGGAATCCTTCAGGTTCAGGCTGAAGTGGGCGAATGTCTGACGACTTTTGGGGCTTGGTGATGCTGCCGTGATCTTTCAGTTGGGGAACATCCTCGATGAAAGCATTGTCCAGGTTCCACACCAAGTGCAACATACATAACCTCTAATAAGCAACTATAATGATGTCACACAAACTACATGTTTTGCAATAATTGGTCATTTAGTGTATTCTGAGTTTCCACGAATACTACTTTGAATTCTACACTTTCATCCTACTAGCCCATCTTGTAGCTTCTTTCATTACCCTCTCATCCACAAACGGCCGAAGCTGCCACATCATCGAGTACGATGCCACATGGGTAGCTGACGTGGAGAGCGAGAGGTCCTCAATAATAGTGAGCTGGAAAAGGGCAAGATCAAGGTAGGAAAAAAGACGGGGGAATGTTGTGGAAATGGTGATCCTGTTGTAACGACACTTGCGAGGGCAGAGGAAACGAGGAAAGCCAACGAGCCAACAAAAGTTGGACAACAAGCAGACATATGTAAGAAATAGAGGAATGTCTGAGCGTAACCGAACAACAAGAGCGTGAAACAAATTTGGCACCTTTCCTGTGTGAATCATCCTTGGGCATAGTACCCAGCACAGTCACCATCACGGTTACCATATCCCCTCGGCCGGCCTTCTCAACACTTGTAAAAGTATAGGCACAAAGCAAAAGCGGCCAAGAAGCACGCTATGAATATAAATTTATAAATATACATTTACCTTCATTTGTAGATCCTTCTTGAGCATCCCCAGCACAGCTGCCATCATGGTTACCATGTCCGCTTGTAATGTAACACCGCTCCTTGTGCCTGCTGCCTCTCCCCTCGAGTTATTCTTGCCGCTGCCATCGCATGCCTGCATTGGGCTGTCTGAATCGTCACCAACACTACCAGTGATGCAGTCGCTGCCATCGTCACAAGGACCATGCGAGCTGGTGCTTGTGGCAGCAGCGTTACACCCATCACCAGCACCATCAGCATCACCAGCATCAGCAGCAGCAGCAGCAGCAGCAGCAGCAGCAGAACCAGGAGCGGCACCATCATTGCTTATGAATGAGCAATGAAGAGCAGCTATGGGCTGAGCCGCCATAAGCTGGGCTGAACCGTGCAGATTTCCCTGAAGCAAGCGAGATGCAGCGGTGTGACAGATCTCCTCCATTTCTGACACGGTCTCCTGCATGTGTGCACAGACGGACACGCACGTTCGTGGGGTCGGACCATGTTGCGTCAAAAGATGGTGATTTTGATCAAGCAAGCGTGGTGCAGCGGTGTGATAGATCTCTTCCATTTCTGACACGGTCTCTTGCATGTGTGCACACATGCACACATGAGAACATGCATGCATCCATACAATAACACATGCACACAAGAGCACTTGCATACATGAACACATGCATGCAAGAAAGCATGCGCAAACAACTCGACACAATCGTGGATGTGATTCTGGTATCTTTGATGACTATGCTCTTGTTAGGAGCAGCCAGTAACTCACCTGATTTTTCAGTCAACTAAAATGTCAACTTGACACAGCCTTGGATGTGATTCTGGTGATGTGCACAAGCGCAAGAACATCCTCTTGTCGCTGACGACTATCCTCACGCTACACGCAGCTAGTAACTCACCTGCCTCGGCTCCAATAGCTGCTGCAGCAGGGTCAGGGAGTGCATGCAAGGTTACATGGTTACCACATGCGCACCCATGCAAGGTTTTACCTGCATGCAAGGTTACCACAATGAGCGGCACATGGTTACCACAATGAGCGGCACATGGTTACCACAATGAGCGGCACATGGTTACCACAATGAGCGGCACATGGTTGCCACAATGAGCAGCACATGGTTACCACAATGAGCGGCACATGGTTACCACAATGAGCAGCACATGGTTACCACAATGAGCGGCACATGGTTACCACAATGAGCGGCACATGGTTACCACAATGAGCGGCACACGGTTACCACAATGAGCGGCACACGGTTACCACAATGAGCGGCACATGGTTACCACGATGAGTGGTAGTGAGCTCACCAGAGTCAGCTCCACCAGCTGCTGCAGCAGGGTGGGGGGTGTATGCACGGTTACATGATTACCACATTGCAAGCCCATATGGTAACCACATGCAGGTAGGGTAGTGCCTAACCTGAGTCAGCTCCACCAGCTGTTGGAGCAGGGTGAGGGAGGTGTGCACTGCTATCCAGGAAGGGGAAAAGAAACCAACAAGAGACACAAGAAACAAAGGAAGAGGCGGAGGGACGACAATGGACCAGTGACACAAGGATGAATTTAGATGCTGGAAACGTCGAAGCCAGCCACTAAAACACGAAGCGATAATACAGTAAATGACATACTTGGTTAACAAAAGAAGAGGGAGGGGAGTGAGGCAAGGGGTGAAAGAGGCATACGTGTAGTTTTGATACGTCTCAAAATAACAAAAAGCGGGCATACATGCGATAGCAGCTTTGTGCTGCTTTGACGGACAGGTGCAGCCAGCAGCCATGTATTCAGCCAGAGGGGATGATGGCAATATTGACCGTGACAGTGTTGCTGATGATGCTGATCCTGATGCCGATGCTGATGATGCTGATGCTGATGATAAAGTAGACGTTGGATGTGTGTTTGATGCCGATGCTGATGATGCTGATGCTGATGATAAAGTAGACGTTGGATGTGTGTTTGATGCCGATGCTGATGATGCTGATGCTGATGATAAAGTAGACGTTGGATGTGTGTTTGATGCCGATGCTGATGATGCTGATGCTGATGATAAAGTAGACGTTGGATGTGTGTTTGATGCCGATGCTGATGATGCTGATGCTGATGATAAAGTAGACGTTGGATGTGTGTTTGATGCCGATGCTGATGATGCTGATGCTGATGATAAAGTAGACGTTGGATGTGTGTTTGATGCCGATGCTGATGATGCTGATGCTGATGATAAAGTAGACGTTGGATGTGTGTTTGATGCCGATGCTGATGATGCTGATGCTGATGATAAAGTAGACGTTGGATGTGTGTCTGATGCTGATGCTGATGCTGATGATGCTGATGCTGATGATGCTGCGGGTGGGTTGGACATAGGTGACTTCTGGAAGGAATCTAGGATGCTGGATACAAGAGGGGAGCCTGATATGGCTTCAGCAGAGGAACGGTAAAACTGCTCTGCAGGAAACAAGAGGGAATGGGGAATGGGACAGACGAGATGCACGAGAATTTTAACAAGGTTTGAAGGTGCTGTGGGTTTGATCCCCACCACCGAAACATGTTTGCTTGTTGATTCAATTCACTGGCCGGTTGAGGAACTTTTTCGAGTTCACCTATTTTCTGAGGGTACAAGTTTTTTTCTAACTGTCAGTTTTTTGCTAACGCGACCTTCCTACACTGCTGCTACTCTTCCATGACAACTAATCCCTGAACGGTAAAACTGCTCTGCAGGAAACGAAGAGGGGATGGGGAATGGGACAGACGAGATGCACGAGAATTTTAACAAGGTTTGAAAGGAGGCGAGGATGCTGGATACAGGGCATTCTGATATGGCTTCATCTGAGGAACGATGAAAATTCTCTGCAGGGGGAGATAACAAGAGGGATATAAGGGGAGTAGATTAGAGGGGGAGAGAGGAGAGGGAAATGGAAGGGGAGCGATGAGAGGTTCAGACTAGGAGGGGTGCTTGTAACAAGAGCGGACTCTGATACAAGAGCGGTCTAGAGTGCTCTCTTAAAACGAGCTGTGATTGTGGAACGCACGCTACCACAGCTGGTGAAAACGAGGGGAGAAGGATGGAAGAAGAGTAGACAAGGGAGGACAGGGCCAGAAGGGGGCAATGACCCAGCGCGAAAGGCGAGGGAATGCGAAAGTGGAAGGTAGGAGGAAGGAGGGAGGGGGAGGAGGGGGAGGAGGGGGAGGAGGGGGAGGAGGGGGAGGAGGGGGAGGAGGGGGAGGAGGGGGAGGAGGGGGAGGAGGGGGAGGAGGGGGAGGAAGGGGAGGAGGGGGAGGAGGGGGAGGAGGGGGAGGAGAAGGAAGCAGTGAAAAGGTACATATGATGTGTGAAGCATAAACGAGCCACCATGAACAGTACCTTCTGTATCATGAACAGTGCCCGCTACACCATGAAACACACCATACCATGCCATGAACAGTACCCGCTCACATCATGAAACACGCCATACCATGAACAGTACCCGGTCATACCATGAACAGTACCCACCATACCATGAACAGTACACACCATACAGTATACACCATACCATGCGCTGACTGGAAGGAGGAAAGAGCTGCAGTCCCCCTCCTATGGAAAGCCTCGGCCACCTCAAAGCTGGTGGGGAGAGAGGAGAGAGGAGAGAGGAGATAGGAGAGAGGAGAGAGGAGATAGGAGAGAGGAGAGAGGAGAGAGGAGAGAGGAGATAGGAGAGAGGAGAGAGGAGAGAGGAGAGAGGAGAGAGGAGATAGGAGAGAGGAGAGAGGAGAGAGAAGAGAGGAGAGAGGAGAGAAGAGAGAGGAGATAGGAGATAGGAGAGAGGAGAGCGGAGAGAGGAGAGAGGAGAGAGGAGAGAGGAGAGAGGAGAGAGGAGAGAATGGCGAGGAGAGAGGAGAGAGGAGAGGAGAGAGGAGAGAGGAGAGAGGGGAGCGGAGAGAGGAGAGAGCGGAGCGGAGAGAGGAGAGAGGAGAGAGGAGATAGGAGAGAGGAGAGAGGAGAGAGGAGAGAGGAGAGAGGAGAGAGGAGAGAGGAGAGAGGAGATAGGAGAGAGGAGAGTCGAGAGAGAAAGAGAGGAGAGAGGAGAGAAGAGCGAGGAGAGAGGAGATAGGAGAGAGGAGAGCGGAGAGAGGAGAGAGGAGAGAGGAGCGAGGAGAGAGGAGAGATGAGAGAGGAGAGAGGAGAGAGGAGAGAGGAGAGAAGAGCGAGGAGGAGAGAGGAGAGAGGAGAGAAGAGCGAGGAGAGAGGAGAGAGGAGAGCGGAGAGAGGAGAGAGGAGAGAGAAGAGAAGAGCGATCAGCAGCAACGGGGGAAAGGGCGGACAACATGTTCATTCGGAGCCGGAAAAGACGGAAAAGCCTCTCCCCACGAAGCAGGAGATGTGTCAGCCGATGTGTTAGACGGATGAACGCAGTACCTCTCCGTGAATGTGTACGTCTCACACATCGGCTGTGGTAGCGGAATGTGTTAGACGGCTGAACACAGCGGAATGTGTTTAGAAAAGGTTGTGAGCAGATGTGCACTTTTAAGCTCATTCAGTTGAGGTGCGGAATGTGCACAGTACCTCTCCAGGAATTCCGCAAACTCCCTTGCCATCACCACCGATCCGTCCCACTTTAGCAAGGTCTGCTGCCTTGCTGGCACGGGTGCTTTCCACGTCAGCGAATACCTGCAGGGTCGGAAGAAACGGGAGGGGAGCTACTGCGTGTAACACACCCCCTTCCGGCATTCCCGTGGGCAAACCGGGGGTTGACCAGAGCCTCGCAGCGGCTGGGTTAGCCCTTCGTGAACATCGTATATGTTACATCCTCATATGTTACACACTTCGTGTTACGTTGCGAGTGGCGCGGCGAAAGTGACGGCTGAGTATTCCCTAAGAACGGCGCTGGAAACTAGGCCTGCACCAATTAATTCACAGGAGACCGGCACTACCTGTTGGTTTCGACAGACGAGCTTTCTTTCAGCCAAACAGAGCTCGAGCTTGAGTCGAGAGTTCACGGTTCATGGCGGTTCTAGACCGGGGCCTACCGCAAACCGTCGGATTTTGCGTCAGATTGTCCGTCAAATCTTCCGTCAAAATTTCTGTCCTTCTCGTCTCTGGCTTTTGGTTGCTTGCAGCCTGGAACAGTATCCTCGTTTGTGCTTCCATCTCTGATCTGTTTGGAGTTCTCGAGTACAGTTTTCTTAGTTGCGTAAAGTTGAAAAAAATAAACAGAATAGTATTTTCAAAATTTCAAAGTTCAAACCCGCCGCCAGTAAACCAGCAACGCGTGGGGGTGGGGGGAAGAGCTCAAACCAAAACCAACCAGCCGTCGGGCCGGCAGCCCACCGGACCTGACGGCCGTCAGCTGTCGAGCTGAGGACAGTGCAGCATTTAGCGTCGAACCGAGCCAAGCCGGCGCCGTCTTTTGCGACATAACGCGCGTCAGCGCAGCAGTATCATGCAGTCCGCGTTAGCGGAAGTAATCTCGTTCTGAGCCGACTCGAAACGAAATTGCTAGCAAGCGCGTCAGCGCAGCATTACCCGCCAGTCCGCGTTAGCGGAAGGTCTAGGAACTGCCCTCTCACCCACGCACCACGCGAATCGCGAGGCTCTGGAAGACTCGTGCAATCTCCTACTAATTCACGCCGGCACTTTTATTTTTGAGGCGCCTAGAAAATAGACTCCTTTTTTTCCCCGGCACATCTAGTAGGCGTTTTCGCGAACGATGTTAAAATTCATCAGTAAGGGCTTTTCCGGCCCTAGCAGACAAAAGAAAGGCGGCTCGCAAGCCACGGATAGTCCTTCCGGCTCGAGTCTCGTAGCGTTCTCTTATAAGGAGCTCTTAGCCGCTACTAATAAGTTCCACTCGAGCCGCGTGTTGGGGGAGGGAAGCTTCGGGAAGGTTTACCGGGGGAAGGTGTCTGGAGTAAGAGCGGAAGTTTGGCAGGAGGATAGTAACGAGGGGGCCAGTAAAGGGGATGGCAGTGAAGCGAATGCTAGTAACGGGGATGCTGATAAAGGGGATGCTGGTAAAGCGAAGGCCAGTAAACCGGATAAACGAGAGGTGGCGATTAAAGTGCTTCACGAGGACAGCATTCAAGGAGTGACGGAGTGGATGGTGAGTGTGTCGAGGAAGCTAGTAACGGGAATGCTAGTATAGTGAATGCTAGTAACGGGGATCAGGGAGGTGGCTAAAGTGCTTCACGAGGACAGCATTCACGGAGTGGCCGAGTGGATGGTGAGTGTGTCGAGGAAGCCAGGGGAGGCTCAGACACCCGAACCTGGAGAACCTGGTCGTGTATCGCTGCTCCGCTCTCCCACTCCCACCGCCCACTTCCATCCCCCTGCCTCTGTTGCATGGCAGGCCGAGATCCTGCTGCTGGGGAGGCTGAGACACCCGAACCTGGTGAACCTTATCGGGTACTGCTCCCAAAAGAACCAGGCCATGCTGGTGTATGCGCTCATGCCGCACGGAGGGCTGGACACGTGGCTGCTGCAAGGTGGGCCGCACCAACCACCCCCCCCACACACACACACACGCACGCACTCGCATGCTGACTGCTGCGATTCAAAGCACATGGGCCCCTCTTGCTCCCAGAGGAACCAGGCCATGCTGGTGTGCGCGCTCATGCTGCATGGAGAGCTGGACACGTGGCTGCTGCAAGGTGGAACGAAGAAATTTGCACATGAGCCCCTTTTGCTGATAGTAGAACCAGGCTGTGCTGGTGTGTATGCCCTGATGCTCCAGGGAGGGCTGTATACATGGCTAGAATTTGTAGAATTCTCAAATATACCATGTGTATGCCCTAAATCGCCTCTGTGCCCAATCGCCGCCCGATCGCTGCCATCTCCCCCATTCCCCCTCCATCTTTCCCCACCCCTCCCCATCTCCCCCATTTCCCCCCATTTCCCCCCATTTCCCCCCATTTCCCCCCTCCTCCCCCAACCTCCCTCCATCTCCCTATCTCCCCTTACACAGACTCAACTCGGCCTGTGCTGACGTGGCAGCAAAGAATCCTGATTGCACTTGGGGCAGCCAGGGGCTTGGCGTACCTGCATGGGGCGAACATCATTCACCGGGACCTCAAGTCGTGCAACATACTGCTGGACGAGGTAGAACAGATTCTTTGTTGACTGGGATAATGTGCATGAGGTGTCCAGTGCAGTGCAGCATAATGCCTGGCTTACCTGCATGGGGGGAGCATCATTCACCGGGTCGTGCAATATAGTGCTGGACAAGGTAAGAGCGTATGATATGGGGAGGTAATATTGTGTATATTGATGTGTGAGGTTGAGCATGGGTCAAGCGTCATTCACCAGGACCTCAAGTCATGCTTCAAGTCCTGCTGGAGTCTATTTTTCAGGCGCCTCACAATTAGACTTCTCATGCAGTATCCTCCTGCTGGACTAGGCATGTGTGTTGGTCTGTGTATACTGTTCTGTGAGCTTGGGTTGGCTGAGTTGTCGACCTGCTGGGTCTGTATGTCCCTCTGGGTTGACTAGTCTACATTCTGCTCAGTGCAGCACAAAGCCTGGCCTTTCTGCATGGGGCGAGCATGATTCGCAGGGATGTCGTTGTATTTTGCGTCGACTCAAAATACTTTGAAAAGTATTTTGGAGAACGTCAATTGTGGATCTCACGTCGTGAAACACACTGCTGGATGAGGCAATAGCCTATCATTGGAGAACTTATATTGTGTATGTTGATACGTGAGGTGTTGTAATGCAGCCTTTCTCTCCCAATACCTTGCCTTCTCTCCTCCCCCCTCCCCCCTTCTCCCCCCTCCCCCCTTCTCCCCCCTCCCCTCTTCTCCACCCTCCCCCTTCTCCGACCTCCCTCCCCTCGGTGCATGCACGCGCGGCTGACAGACTTTGGAACGGCACGAGCTGAACACGCTTCTGCATCCTGTATCCCCCTTCCCCTTCCTCCCTTCCTCCCTTCCTCCCTTCCTCCCTTCCTCCCTTCCTCCCTTCCTCCCTTCCTCCCTTCCTCCCTTCCTCCCTTCCTCCCTTCCTCCCTTCCTCCCTTCCTCCCTTCCTCCCTTCCTCCCTTCCTCCCTTCCTCCCTTCCTCCCTCTCTCCCTCCCACCCTCCCCTCAGCGCAAGCACTCCAGGCGACTTTTGAGTCGACTCAAAAGTCACAGCGCATGCACTCCAGGCGACTTTTGAGTCGACTCAAAAGTCACAGCGCATGCACTCCAGGCGACTTTTGAGTCGACTCAAAAGTCACAGCGCATGCACTCCAGGCGACTTTTGAGTCGACTCAAAAGTCACAGCGCATGCACTCCAGGCGACTTTTGAGTCGACTCAAAAGTCACAGCGCATGCACTCCAGGCGACTTTTGAGTCGACTCAAAAGTCACAGCGCATGCACTCCAGGCGACTTTTGAGTCGACTCAAAAGTCACAGCGCATGCACTCCAGGCGACTTTTGAGTCGACTCAAAAGTCACAGCGCATGCACTCCAGGCGACTTTTGAGTCGACTCAAAAGTCACAGCGCATGCACTCCAGGCGACTTTTGAGTCGACTCAAAAGTCACAGCGCATGCACTCCAGGCGACTTTTGAGTCGACTCAAAAGTCACAGCGCATGCACTCCAGGCGACTTTTGAGTCGACTCAAAAGTCACAGCGCATGCACTCCAGGCGACTTTTGAGTCGACTCAAAAGTCACAGCGCATGCACTCCAGGTGACTTTTGAGTCGACTCAAAAGTCACAGCGCATGCACTCCAGGTGACTTTTGAGTCGACTCAAAAGTCACAGCGCATGCACTCCAGGTGACTTTTGAGTCGACTCAAAAGTCACAGCGCATGCACTCCAGGTGACTTTTGAGTCGACTCAAAAGTCACAGCGCATGCACTCCAGGTGACTTTTGAGTCGACTCAAAAGTCACAGCGCATGCACTCCAGGCGACTTTTGAGTCGACTCAAAAGTCACAGCGCATGCACTCCAGGCGACTTTTGAGTCGACTCAAAAGTCACAGCGCATGCACTCCAGGCGACTTTTGAGTCGACTCAAAAGTCACAGCGCATGCACTCCAGGCGACTTTTGAGTCGACTCAAAAGTCACAGCGCATGCACTCCAGGCGACTTTTGAGTCGACTCAAAAGTCACAGCGCATGCACTCCAGGCGACTTTTGAGTCGACTCAAAAGTCACAGCGCATGCACTCCAGGCGACTTTTGAGTCGACTCAAAAGTCACAGCGCATGCACTCCAGGCGACTTTTGAGTCGACTCAAAAGTCACAGCGCATGCACTCCAGGCGACTTTTGAGTCGACTCAAAAGTCACAGCGCATGCACTCCAGGCGACTTTTGAGTCGACTCAAAAGTCACAGCGCATGCACTCCAGGCGACTTTTGAGTCGACTCAAAAGTCACAGCGCATGCACTCCAGGCGACTTTTGAGTCGACTCAAAAGTCACAGCGCATGCACTCCAGGCGACTTTTGAGTCGACTCAAAAGTCACAGCGCATGCACTCCAGGCGACTTTTGAGTCGACTCAAAAGTCACAGCGCATGCACTCCAGGCGACTTTTGAGTCGACTCAAAAGTCACAGCGCATGCACTCCAGGCGACTTTTGAGTCGACTCAAAAGTCACAGCGCATGCACTCCAGGCGACTTTTGAGTCGACTCAAAAGTCACAGCGCATGCACTCCAGGCGACTTTTGAGTCGACTCAAAAGTCACAGCGCATGCACTCCAGGCGACTTTTGAGTCGACTCAAAAGTCACAGCGCATGCACTCCAGGCGACTTTTGAGTCGACTCAAAAGTCACAGCGCATGCACTCCAGGCGACTTTTGAGTCGACTCAAAAGTCACAGCGCATGCACTCCAGGCGACTTTTGAGTCGACTCAAAAGTCACAGCGCATGCACTCCAGGCGACTTTTGAGTCGACTCAAAAGTCACAGCGCATGCACTCCAGGCGACTTTTGAGTCGACTCAAAAGTCACAGCGCATGCACTCCAGGCGACTTTTGAGTCGACTCAAAAGTCACAGCGCATGCACTCCAGGTGACTTTTGAGTCGACTCAAAAGTCACAGCGCATGCACTCCAGGTGACTTTTGAGTCGACTCAAAAGTCACAGCGCATGCACTCCAGGTGACTTTTGAGTCGACTCAAAAGTCACAGCGCATGCACTCCAGGTGACTTTTGAGTCGACTCAAAAGTCACAGCGCATGCACTCCAGGTGACTTTTGAGTCGACTCAAAAGTCACAGCGCATGCACTCCAGGCGACTTTTGAGTCGACTCAAAAGTCACAGCGCATGCACTCCAGGCGACTTTTGAGTCGACTCAAAAGTCACAGCGCATGCACTCCAGGCGACTTTTGAGTCGACTCAAAAGTCACAGCGCATGCACTCCAGGCGACTTTTGAGTCGACTCAAAAGTCACAGCGCATGCACTCCAGGCGACTTTTGAGTCGACTCAAAAGTCACAGCGCATGCACTCCAGGCGACTTTTGAGTCGACTCAAAAGTCACAGCGCATGCACTCCAGGCGACTTTTGAGTCGACTCAAAAGTCACAGCGCATGCACTCCAGGCGACTTTTGAGTCGACTCAAAAGTCACAGCGCATGCACTCCAGGCGACTTTTGAGTCGACTCAAAAGTCACAGCGCATGCACTCCAGGCGACTTTTGAGTCGACTCAAAAGTCACAGCGCATGCACTCCAGGCGACTTTTGAGTCGACTCAAAAGTCACAGCGCATGCACTCCAGGCGACTTTTGAGTCGACTCAAAAGTCACAGCGCATGCACTCCAGGCGACTTTTGAGTCGACTCAAAAGTCACAGCGCATGCACTCCAGGCGACTTTTGAGTCGACTCAAAAGTCACAGCGCATGCACTCCAGGCGACTTTTTGAGTCGACTCAAAAGTCACAGCGCATGCACTCCAGGCGACTTTTGAGTCGACTCAAAAGTCACAGCGCATGCACTCCAGGCGACTTTTGAGTCGACTCAAAAGTCACAGCGCATGCACTCCAGGCGACTTTTGAGTCGACTCAAAAGTCACAGCGCATGCACTCCAGGCGACTTTTGAGTCGACTCAAAAGTCACAGCGCATGCACTCCAGGCGACTTTTGAGTCGACTCAAAAGTCACAGCGCATGCACTCCAGGCGACTTTTGAGTCGACTCAAAAGTCACAGCGCATGCACTCCAGGCGACTTTTGAGTCGACTCAAAAGTCACAGCGCATGCACTCCAGGCGACTTTTGAGTCGACTCAAAAGTCACAGCGCATGCACTCCAGGCGACTTTTGAGTCGACTCAAAAGTCACAGCGCATGCACTCCAGGCGACTTTTGAGTCGACTCAAAAGTCACAGCGCATGCACTCCAGGCGACTTTTGAGTCGACTCAAAAGTCACAGCGCATGCACTCCAGGTGACTTTTGAGTCGACTCAAAAGTCACAGCGCATGCACTCCAGGTGACTTTTGAGTCGACTCAAAAGTCACAGCGCATGCACTCCAGGTGACTTTTGAGTCGACTCAAAAGTCACAGCGCATGCACTCCAGGTGACTTTTGAGTCGACTCAAAAGTCACAGCGCATGCACTCCAGGTGACTTTTGAGTCGACTCAAAAGTCACAGCGCATGCACTCCAGGTGACTTTTGAGTCGACTCAAAAGTCACAGCGCATGCACTCCAGGTGACTTTTGAGTCGACTCAAAAGTCACAGCGCATGCACTCCAGGCGACTTTTGAGTCGACTCAAAAGTCACAGCGCATGCACTCCAGGCGACTTTTGAGTCGACTCAAAAGTCACAGCGCATGCACTCCAGGCGACTTTTGAGTCGACTCAAAAGTCACAGCGCATGCACTCCAGGCGACTTTTGAGTCGACTCAAAAGTCACAGCGCATGCACTCCAGGCGACTTTTGAGTCGACTCAAAAGTCACAGCGCATGCACTCCAGGCGACTTTTGAGTCGACTCAAAAGTCACAGCGCATGCACTCCAGGCGACTTTTGAGTCGACTCAAAAGTCACAGCGCATGCACTCCAGGCGACTTTTGAGTCGACTCAAAAGTCACAGCGCATGCACTCCAGGCGACTTTTGAGTCGACTCAAAAGTCACAGCGCATGCACTCCAGGCGACTTTTGAGTCGACTCAAAAGTCACAGCGCATGCACTCCAGGCGACTTTTGAGTCGACTCAAAAGTCACAGCGCATGCACTCCAGGCGACTTTTGAGTCGACTCAAAAGTCACAGCGCATGCACTCCAGGCGACTTTTGAGTCGACTCAAAAGTCACAGCGCATGCACTCCAGGCGACTTTTGAGTCGACTCAAAAGTCACAGCGCATGCACTCCAGGCGACTTTTGAGTCGACTCAAAAGTCACAGCGCATGCACTCCAGGCGACTTTTGAGTCGACTCAAAAGTCACAGCGCATGCACTCCAGGCGACTTTTGAGTCGACTCAAAAGTCACAGCGCATGCACTCCAGGCGACTTTTGAGTCGACTCAAAAGTCACAGCGCATGCACTCCAGGCGACTTTTGAGTCGACTCAAAAGTCACAGCGCATGCACTCCAGGCGACTTTTGAGTCGACTCAAAAGTCACAGCGCATGCACTCCAGGCGACTTTTGAGTCGACTCAAAAGTCACAGCGCATGCACTCCAGGCGACTTTTGAGTCGACTCAAAAGTCACAGCGCATGCACTCCAGGCGACTTTTGAGTCGACTCAAAAGTCACAGCGCATGCACTCCAGGCGACTTTTGAGTCGACTCAAAAGTCACAGCGCATGCACTCCAGGCGACTTTTGAGTCGACTCAAAAGTCACAGCGCATGCACTCCAGGCGACTTTTGAGTCGACTCAAAAGTCACAGCGCATGCACTCCAGGCGACTTTTGAGTCGACTCAAAAGTCACAGCGCATGCACTCCAGGCGACTTTTGAGTCGACTCAAAAGTCACAGCGCATGCACTC